ATTGAAGCAACTGCCATGTGATTGGTTGATTAGATAATCGCATTAATGAGAAATTGAACAGGTGTTCCTAATAATCCTTTAGGTGAGTGTATATTATTATATTACTCCATTGTTAATTGCTGACGGTGTGTAGCATTGCAGATGAGTATGTAACACTCCCACGGTGGCGGTATTCAAAAACAAGACGACAAGGCCTGTCTTAAAGGTTTACTTTTATATTACACACCGCATGAGAATTAAAACACAGAATTCTAGGTACATTACTCAGTGTCACTAAGTGTTCTGCAGCTACAGAGACAATATGACCAGAAAACACAACATCACCAGCGAGCACGAGTCACGGGGAGGAATGGCGGGCACCCAGAAAGCGGTACGAGAGACCACCCCCCAATCACAGGGCAATCTGAGTTATAAAAACACAGCGATACTGACCTCTTTACAGACAGGCCCATCGCCAGCTCTCCACACACATCTCAGATGGCATGGGCTTCAGTTTCGCTCCTCCAAAGGGAGGTCGCTCAGTGTGTCCGTCTCAGTTGGGAAGAGCGCCCTCTGCTGTCCATGTGGCTAGCAGCCAACGCACTGCAATGCAGCACCCTGGCACCAGTTCACGGCATATATTAGCATTAGCACAAATCAGCCTCTTCCACAAAGAGCCCAAACAGGACTGTGAAATGCACATTATTAAACAAATAAATACAGGACAAGTAAGTTTTCTCTGTGCATTTCAGGAATGTTTGCTTTGCAGAGACTTTCATGTGTGAAATAATACGGATGCAGCTCAGAATGCTTAATTCCCCTGCTTTTAGCAGGTCATGTTTAACTTTCCTACTTCCCTTGATTTCCCTCAGGACAGCTAATTAAAACAACTGCAACACAGCAACAAAGTTGGAGCAGCTAACTGGTCACATGGCTTTTGGCAGAAGTGCCAAGAAACTGCTGGGCAGGATGTCCCGGGGTTCCGATTGGTCCGGCCTGCATGGGCGTGTCCCTCTTTGAAGCAGGCTATTGGTGCAGGCCCTTGTCCTGAACCTCGACAGGCGGCAGGGGCGGCATCAGCGCTTGGAGGTGAGCGTCAGCGTGGAGGAGACCCGGAAGATCTGGGGCAGCATGTTACTCAGCTGGTAGAACATCTCTTCCGAGATACTCTGTCGGCACACACAGGACGGCAGTGTGAATTTCAGCAGACACGCCTCCTGCGTCAGAGCACCGTGCAACGGGAGGGCAAGAGTCGTCAATAAACTTCTCCAGAAGAGACCGACGAATCAAAGGACCCAAGTGGATGGCTGCTGGTAACCCAGAGGAGGACGGCAAAGGCCAGTCACCTTTATTATATTCCTGTGAGACGTAATTCTACCTGCCCTGCGGACTCTGATCTGTGGCCAGGCTCTCTGCTGATCCTCATTAGATCAGTACATCTAGCATGTCTCACTCATGTTGTATATTTAGGGACTGAGCTGAAGGTTACGGCACTGCTGAGTCAGACGGGTGCTTCTCGGACTCCCGCGGGCCCAGAGATGGGGAGCGAAGCGCCATCCGAGCAGAACTTGGAGGGCCGGCGTCCGTGCTGGCACCGGGACAGCTGGGTTTGCGCAGGCCGGACAAGATCTGACGACTAGAATTAGGACAGCTAGTGAGAAAAGCTCTGGTTGAGCGATTTTCTCAAGTGAAATCAGTGGTTTTTGCAAAACAAATTTCACTATTATGCTGCTGACGGTAGATTGTCTTGAAAAAAACGCATACGAGGATGTCTGATTTAAGTTTTAAGCACGCTACGAGCAGGACAACACGATCCGACTGAGTAGGAATCGCCAGCCTCATGTGACTAACTGTGGGATGGGGCTTACTCTCAGGAAAAAACCCTCTAATATAAATCTTGTTAGTACACTGTACTGTAATGGTAACTTCATTTAATTTAAATATATATTTAGAAAAGTACCTGAGGAGAAATGCAAAATGGTGATAAAGACCATTACAGGACAAAATAAAACGGAACTAGAACAGAAAACAAATTAATAAGCCTGAAAATAAGAAAGATAATGAGTCATCTTCCCCTGGCTGGCTGCTGGTGCAGTTACAGGACTTGACTTTGAGGTCACTCCCTGCTGGAAGGCCCTCAGCACAGTGTATTACTCTCCAGCAGAGTCGTGACACCAGACCTGAATATGTGACAGGGCCACATTCTTTAACATCAAAGTTAAGGCACGCAGTGAAACGCTTGAGTTACAGTCTGTCCTACCTTCTGTTACTTCTAAAGAGTCATGTTCATTATGGTATAAAGGGTCTTACACTGTATCCCAGGGTTCCCCAATTTTCCCCCCCGAGGAACAAATTCTATCAGCGATACAAAGCCAAGGGCCACTGCCCGCAATGAAATTTGTCGAGTGGGGGGTGCTGGCCAGATTAGGGAGGGTGCTGACAGGGTCGGATCGACCTTTTCAAGGGCCCTAGGCAGGGACGTTACCAGAAATAAATTTTGAGGGGGAAGGGAGTCCCCCTCAGTAGATATCGCCAACCAAGGGGGGGCCCTTGGCGGATTTCTCCGACTGGGGACTTCGTCTGGGCCCCCTTGTGCTGATCGGCCCTAGGCAGCTACCTAGCTTCCAGCCTGGGGAACAAAATTTGCCTTGATTTTGTCTGTTAATAGTGCCTGCTTACCAAAAACACACTAACATGTCACAAGCTTTTTCTTCTGTAGAATCTCTATGGCTCTGAAAAGGTTCCTTTAAATTTCCTCATTAGAAGAGCTATGGATCCCACTATTTCCTTGGTGACACCTCTACTGCCTCAATGGATCTCACTAGGTTCCTGAAAGGTTCCTCTTTAGGGCCTCTATTGATCTCACTAGGTTCCTGTTAGGGAACCCTGGGATAAATTTTCTAATCAGAATTTTATAAACACAACTTGGGTCATTTCAAAATTCAAGGGTCGCAATCCCTTCATGCAGCTGCACAAAATGGGCCACCCCTACCGCAGGAACCCAGGAACATATTCGCTGTTATGAGAAGAAAAAAAAAAGACATTGAAGATTAACTGGAACAGAGATTAATTAAAGGCTCTGGAAGTGACTCCATACCTGTGGCACCAGGAACTGCACCGTACGGGAAATCCCTCCATCCCAGGAGACCATCTCCATCATGAATCCTGCAGTGGAGAAAGATCAGCGTCTTCATGCCCCATGGACAAGTGAATACTCTGGCCCTGCTTGAGGGTGTGCTTTCATGTTTATTTATTTAGCAGAAGCTCTTGCCCAAAGTGACATAGTCAAAGTCAGGAACTCATATGGTCAGCCAACATCCAGAGCCCCCTGGAGCAGCTGGGATTAAAGCCCGTGCTCAAGGGACCAATGGGGATGTGTTTACTCTGGCAAGAGAACATGGGATTAGAACCCACAACCTTCCGAGCATCAATCCCTAACCCCCTGAGGTACCTAAAGAACTAAGTTTTTGTTTACCGACCATTTGCTCTCTAAACCACATCCCCGTGACAGATATAACCCCCATGCCCAGATGGTTGGCAGGACGTTGGTGTTCCCCGCGTTGTTTTCAAACAGAGCCCTAATTTGTGTCGTGAGCTGACGCTCCATCTGCCGAGATGCGCAACGGCGGCGGCGGGAGTGAGGGAACAACGGCAAGCCTCGGCAAGTCCTCTGCTCCACAGCACCCCCTTCTGGTCACTCGCTCACCTTTCACGCATTTGAACACCAGCTCGGCCCGCTTCAAGCACCAGGGGATGGTCATCTCCTGCGAAGGGGAGTCAGAACATCAGACGGACCGTCGGAAGGGAAGCGGATCGCGCTGCCAAGCCTCGGTCTTTCCGTGCCTCTTCCCACACTGTCTGGTTCTCCGTCGCTTCCACCGGCAATTAGTGTCCCCAGGCACGCGCACACAAATAACCGGAAAGGAACGAAACCGAAAAAGGACTCCCAGAAGCTCTTTCCGGGACGCATCCGTCAAGCGCCCCCCCGGCGGCTCCGCCCACTGAGGGTTCAGCGAGGGCCGCGGTAATGTCAGCTTTGGCCGCCCTGTGGTTACGTCTGGTCTGGAGCTGAACGGAACCCCAAATGGGGCCATTTCTCAGTTAACGACAAGACTGTACTGCAACCCCGGAAGTGTGGACAAATAACCAGCCGATTTTAACTCTGCATTCCAGTCACAGGACAGACCCAGGATATATAAAGTTCTCAGGCAATCAGTGCAGCCTAATAATCACTTTTTATGAACAACAGAGACTTATCAACTATATTACAGAATAAAATATTCTTTGTTTCCAGATTTCCTGTAAAATTTCTCACAGCTCTCATATCTCATTAAAATGGATATAGATTAGTGTAGACAACAGATACTATTTAGAGTAAAATTTTGGTCCAGTATTGCATATCTATTTCTCTTTTACAGAATAGAAAATGCAACATCAGATCTCTTTAAAGAGCCTTATTAATAGTGCATATTTTTCTTTATAAGGTCAAGGGCATCATTTACTATCCATAATCCTTCTAAATGTCCTTGATGCAATGCTGGTACATCGGAGTCAGCTCACTCTGGTCAGTAAATGGCTAGTTCGTCATGCTTGTGTATGTATTTTATTAAGTTCTGATCACGCCCCTCACCAGGAAAAGTGGACTGAAGGTGGATTGTGTTGCAGAAGAACACTCAGCAGTATACTTCCAAGCTAGACTCAATGTTCCTGCTCTTCAACATAAACGCAGAGAAGATCCTGTAAGCTCAGCTCCTGACAGCGTACGTCAGCTCCCGATTTGATTGTATTTTCCGCTGACTGCTATGCATCTACAAAGAATGGTCACAGAACGTTCCTTTCTGGAGCTAAGTAACAGATACTATTCCAGTATGACAGGACAAGGCTGAATCAAAGGAGGAGGATGGGGGGAAGGGATGGAGGACAGGCTGTCGGATGTGTGGAGAGCGTGCTCAGATCCAGGCCCTGAGCTGGCGGATGGGGGGGAATATTCCCGCCCCCCAAGCTACCATTTAACCGCTGCAGAGGCGGTATGGAGTCAAAGTTCAAGCTGGTGAGCGGTTCCCCAGTTTGTGTCCTCCCGCTGCAGTTGTTTACATACGTTCTTCCTTCCTCTCCAATTATCTGGCCGCAAGAGTAGGAGCCATGCACGTCACCGTCATTTTCACAAGGCACCCTCGTGTAGCCAACCGTGCACCGTGGCGTTAAATATAGAGCCGGGCTGTTGCACAACAGAGACCACTTTGTGGGGTACCACTTAACCGATTCGGAGGAAACAAAAGCAAACGTTAGCAGCGATGAACACTGGAAGTGCGCTCCACCTGAGCCCAGAATCCTGCACTGCTTTTATGTTCGTGCTCCTGTGCAGACCGCTTAAGGATTCCAGTGACCACACACTATGGACCATCAGACAGAAGGACGACCAGCAACAGATTTAAGTGTATGAAAGCACATCTCTGATCAGGGCCCTTGTATGAGAGCCACTGGGTTTCTGAAAAGTTCCTCTGTAGCACTTCTATTGCTCTCACTAGGTTCCTGTATGGTTCCTCTGTAGAACCACTACTGCTCTCACTATCTTTCTGGCGGTTCCTCTGTAGAACCTCTATGCATCTTACTAGGTTCCTGTAAGGTCTCTCTGTAGCACCTCTATGCTTCCTGCAGCTTACTGCCACTCACCTCCGACATGTCGTGGACCAGAAGCAGGGGCACGGTGATGGTGGTGATGTCATGTGTGCAGCACACCTTCAGGATGTTGCGTAGGCCCATGATGGCCGGGTCGCGGGCTGTGATGTTGCCTGAGCGCACGTTGTCATCCACGCACAAGTGGAAGACAATGTGCACCTCTGACAGGTTGGACTGCCGGGTGATGTAGAATTCACCTGGCAGACAGTGGCGGGTAAAACTTATAAGAGACGCCCCAGAGTTACAGCAGGACAGGGATCGCAGCAAAATACAAGAAAATGGGCCCACCTGGTAAAATATTTGAGGTATTCCTTTCAAGGTTTTTTGTGTTATCGTCACTGCCTCCATTTTTAGGACCCTCTGGGAGAAGAAAATAGGTTTAATCAATGAATCCCGACTATCCCCTGAAATCAAGACAGACAGACAGACAGGAAGACCCATATTTGGGCAACGACGCCCGTAGGAATGGAAAGGCTGCATTCCCAGAGGGCCCAATTCACGGCTCACTGAGTGCGGAGAGCGATAAGCTCCACACCGGTGATCTTTCAGTACACCCAAGCAGAGATGCCCCGATAGCCCCCACGGCCCCCCGGACCGCCGCTGGCGTTCCCGCTATGCCACGCACTGCATCTCCTCGATGGCCGATGAACAAACGCGACTTCGCGCTGTGATTTGGTCCCTTCGGGCAATCAAGGCTGCCAGGAGTCTCCGTCTCTCATCTTCAGACGGCAAGCTAATGCTCAAATGCTAAAATAACGTCATCCTATAATTTCAGGGAAAATCGCAGCCGTTGTAGCCAGCCGTGAGATCAAACAAAAGGGATCAGTCTCGACTCTACGAGGCGTCTGAACTGGGAGTGGTTATACATGTTATTATTTATTTAACTGTAAAACTCATTAAGTGTCAAGTTCCACTGACTAAGGTCTATATTCAAACCTGCAAATCATTGTTCGCCTGTCAGATATCAAGTCAACACCATTTCTGCAATTGACTTATCCTTTTCTATGTGGCCTTAAACCCCTACTGAATCATAATTCTCCTTTTTTAAAATAATATTTAATTACTGTCAACACTAATCCATAAATGAACGTTTGACGCAGCAAGGCTTGCTGTCGTGCTGGTTCACAACAACAGGAAACACCGTGGGAACACAGGAATGTCCGACGGCGACCTCTGCGACTCCCTGCCCACGCGCGTTCCTCTCCACCCGCCGGATCGAAGGCGGCAATATTGGCCACCACTTCCTGCTTTGGACCCGTGACTCTGGCAGAGCCAATGCTACAGCCGCCCCCGCGGGTGACGGCCAAAATGACAGCCCTGCGCTGGATGGCACCTTGGGTAATGAGCAGAGGTGAAAATGACGGGCCTGGCGCGCTGGCAGGCGCCTCGAGTGGGCGGCCCGGCGGCTGCTCGCTCACCAGGCTGCTCCCGCTGCTTGCTGTTCCTCTGTGCCCGGGCGTATAGCACCACCTGCTGGACCACCTCCAGCTGCTCCTCCAGCCAAGGGAAGTGGAAGTCTGTGCACTCCTTGGACACAGTGGCGAAATCTGGGTGCGAAACCAACCAAAAGAGTCTTGGGTGTTGCTTGCAGGGGTCAATGACGTACGCCTCGAACCCACTGCGCTGGTCCGTGTTCCGAATGCAGGGACGGGCCTAATCAGCAACCCAGGAGCTTGAGGGAAATTCTGTTGCAGCTGCAGCTTCGTTGGGAACATGACACTACACCGGGAACCTAAACTCCTGGAGGAATTCGCAGCACAACAGCGCTGCAGGCAGGATAAATCATCCCACATCCCAGCGCAATACAAACGTCAGGTTCTTATGCAATACCTGCACCAAAACTTGCAAGATCTGTAAGTTTTTGCTACTCGCGGTTTTTTTGTGCATTACGTGAAATCCTGCTTAGTGGAAGCGTGTAACTCTAGATCTGCAGCTACGCGTTTCTCACTGATGGAGAACTAATTACCGTCTCCTGCCAAACAAGGAGCTCCGTGGTTCAGCCAAACATCATGTCAACGCTGAATGCTGATATGTCACACAGGTCATGAACCCCAGTGGCGCCGCTCGGGGCTCAGCCACTGGCCCCCACTCACCCCGCTTGATGCCGCTGTAGGAGTTGACCCGGTTATCCACCAGCAGCACCAGGCCGCACAGCGACGTGGAGTAGAGCGACAGTGCGGTCTGCAGCCTCCGCAGCTTGGCACCGCCGCTGCCGTGGCGACGGTGCTTACAGAAGTCCAGCACGTCAGCCCGCAGCAGCCGCAGGTTGTGCATGGTCTTCAGCTGCGCACCTGCAGAACGTATATGGGGCGCTTTGAAATGAATACCAGCAGGGGTCTGTGCTGACCCCCCCCCCCCCCCATGGTGGGGTTGGGGCTTTACCTAAATGGATGGTGAAGCTCTCCTCCAGCTGTTGTTCCTCAAACATCTGGGCAGAGGCCTCACTCAACTGGCTGGGCTTCACCTTGATCTCCTCGCTGGGACGCACACGGATGGAGAACATCAGCGGCCTCAGTCCACCTAGAACCCCCCCATCTGCGGGTCCCATCTCCCCCGCAGCCTCACACCCCGTCTAAGCGATTCCAGACCTGACCCACGCATTCATTATCTCCACTCGACCGATTTACACCCCCCTGCCCCCGCCACCCGAGGCTGGAAAAGCTGCTGAGTCACCGACACCCAGACGACAGCGGATGCAGCTACACTCAGACCTACTTGATGGTGCTGTTGTTTGGAGTCTGCAGGTCCTGGTGCAGCTTCAGGACCCACTCCTGGTACTCCTGCTTCTGGATCGTGGTCACCTGCTTCAGCTCGTTGGCCCACTTACTCTCCAACACCTTTGCACACACCAGAAGAGACATAAGCAGTAGCTTCAGGACGATACCTCCCAACAATTACCTCATGCTGGATAGATTAACAAATCCATCCATCCATTCATCCATCTTTGGTAACCTCTAATACAATTAGGGTCACAGTGATTTGCAGCCAGCACAAACTGAAGGACACTGTGTGTCACTAGGCACTAACACATACACACACGCACTCGCTATGAGTCAGCTGACCTAAAGCACAGATCTCTGTCTTAGGCAGAGATACAGCAAAAGTTACTCCACACTGAGACACAGCATTAGCGCCCCCAGTCCTTTCCGTAACTCAGCCTTGCATTCAGGGTCTTCCCAAGCACCCCCATCTACAACCCCGTTGTAAAAGAAGCCTTCCGGAAACCATATCCCCGCAGCCGACCTGCTGGCCGTCGAAGTGCTGCGAGGCCACCGCGTTGACGTCCTGATCGCTCAAGGTCTTCCCCAGTTCCTGCATGACGCTGTCCATCTCCACTGCTTGCCTACACCATGTATGGAGGGAGGAAGAGCAGGTGAACCCTCAGTCAGGAGATTCCAAGCCATCGGAGCCAAATCCAGAGGACACAGGGGACAACTTCTGCCCCCCCCCCCTCACCAACAGTAACTCGTCTGCTAATAACAGACACTTTGCACGTTAGTCAGCTGGGATCCTATAACGTTTCATAGCATCACCTATATTTACTTACACTCAGTTTATTGGTTTCACCCTTTATTCCATCCCGTGCTGCTTTTGACTATAAGTAGTTACTCTACTGTTAAAAATATGTGTAACATTTCTGTGTTCATAGTTGTAAATTGTTCTGAAATTGTCTTCCATGTTATAATGGACACATCCACCAAGACAGATTCCTTGTCTGTTAATATATTTGGCCAATAAAGATCTTTCCGATTCTAATTTTTGATTCATTGTGACAGAGGGGGGAGACCTGAGGCCATGTCTGTACTGCACTGATGGGAAAGACAGCAGATTCTCAATCTGCAGCCCTTTCTGTGCAAAAACAAACATCCATGTTTTGTGTGTCAGATATTTCTATGACTGATTTTGGAGAGATGATGCCACGAATGGAAAGGTGATGAAAAGCAGAGACCTTCCACTTCACTCGAACACTGGTCATGGCAAACACACTAACACACACACACACCTCTCCTGTAGTTTCTTCAACTCCATGTCCCTCTCGCTGATGAGCTCCGAGATGCTGAGGAAGTAGTTGTGCTCGAGGTTGAGTAGCGTGTCTGAGGCTGGGGAGTGGATCAGCTCGTGGTACACATCCGCAAAGTCCTCCTCCCGGCTTGGCTCCTCGGGTCGCGCGTGCTCCAGCGTGCTCTGTTTGGGGGGGTCAAAGGTCAGGGGGACAGGCGAAGAGGCGAAGCCATACTGAGACACCAGACCTAATAACAGAGGCCGGTGGATCAAATAAAAAGTAAAAACAGAGTCTGAACACGATGTTGGGATATACGAGACACACGGACCTCAAATAGAGACCATAAAACAGCCAGGCTGAGAAAAACACACTGCCATAAAAGCAGTGGCCACAGAAAAAAAACAGATAATTACCGAAAGAAGAAAAATATCCCCATAAACACCACTAAAATCTGTCACGTACAGAACAATACAAAAAAAACACACTGCCACGAGTCCTCATGAGAAATTATAAGCCGGGAATGCTGATGCAGTGATCACAATGGATGCAGAACGCTTTCCTGAGTGCCTTTAAATAATCCCACTGACCTCCGCGCGTAAAACAGGCCGCTGCAGTAAAACATTAACGATTATTCTGCGTGCTCCGCGGCAGCAGGCCAAACGGGCTCCAGTGCCGGAGGGGGCTCGCCTGGACGTTTATAAGCATCTCAGGCAGAATATAACCGGCAGGGGCGTGTGGCAAGAATGCGGACAGGGCAGCTGACCTTAAAATGGGAGACGTGGAGGTTATGCTTTTTCAGAGGGATTCAAATCATACTTAAGTCTCTGAATTAGTTCAGTAAGGGATGGACTTCACACCACACCCAGAAATGAAAGAAAAAGAATTATTATGCCAGAATTGTGTTTTATTTCCCAATTCAGATCAAAGACAACAAATAAGGCAGCAGTTACAACAACCCTGAACACGGACGGTAGAAGCAAACTAATAATCCTGTCATTTGCATTTGGGTCATAGCGTTTACCTCACTGTAGACCTTGGCCCAAGAATCTGTGAGCCTGTCCATGTCCAGATCCTTCGTCGTCAGCTTCTGCAGGAGGGTCTCTGCCTCCCTGTCATAGTCCAGGATGGTTTCTCTCTCTATAAACCTACAAAGGGCAGTCTTCAAATCTATTCCAAAGACAAGTTAAATAAAGCAGTTTTAGTTTGTCTGTTATGTACTGTCAAGCTTGACTCTTGGCTAATTATTGTTGCAGTATTCATTGATGAATATAGACATTTAGATATCGTCATTCATTTCAGATAAGCTTAATCATCTTGACCTGCAACCAACCGTTTTCTACGAAGCAGGGCAGTTTGTGCAGTAGCTTCAGCCGCCCGAGGAGGTCGCTGGTGTTCTCCTGCACCGGGAACTGCAGGGGCACCGTCAGGACATAGTGCTGCTTTCCTGCCCTGAACTCAAACGTAAATTCCTTTTCCGTTGTGCTTATTTTCCCCTTATTTTTCTTCATATTCGTTTATTTGATCCTGAAAGGCAGATCCAAACGGAACAATTACGGGTGTGAAATCTTTTTATATACCCATTTAATTAACGAGGAGATCATCTGAAATCGTTTTTGAGAAAAAATCTTTGGCAAAACACATCAAAATGTAACTTTTTGCGCTTGTAGCTTGCAAGGTATTTGTGCTTCACTTCTATCAATATATACAATTTTGAGCCTCCAGTCACCACTGGACTTCCTGTATTTGCAAAACGTCAACATTACTGGCAAAAACCGACGCTTCACACGAGAGACGATGATTACTTAGTTTGTGTTAAAGCACGGTAAACTAAAATCATGGAAAATATATACAGTATTCGTCAAAATGACCATAGCTGGTCAAATCTTAGATCAACAGTATAATCTAGATACAGATGTATGAGCTGGTGAGTTAACGATAAGATTTGCTATATTAGCGCAGCAGCTAATATCACTGAATGCAGTAGAACTAGGTACCAGATTATCGATTAAACAGTCTTACCAGAAATCAGACATACAAGTGTAATATTGTGTTGTTTGGCTAACGGTGCCGTAAACACCCATTCATAGCTCCCCAGCTGTCAGCTGACTGCGTCCAGTGCTCAAACTGCATTTCCGTAGTCGCAGATTCCACTCAACATCCCAGCCTTTACATTCATGATGTGCAAATACATGGGAAAATTCGCCATAGCCAATAAATTATAATATGATGTTTATTAATGTACAGCGAGTCGTAATGTGTTGTGCGTTACTGCACAGAAAGGATCCCCTCATCGCAACCGAATCAGCCAACGTAAAGATGAATTTACTCTATTCGCTTTCAGGCGGGATGTTCTGTGGGACGATCAAAACATTGCTGGATTCTTTAAGTTTTGTCTTCTAAGAAGGAAGAAACGAGGTTTTTGTTTTTCTCCTAATCCAGTTACGTCAACTTAGTCGTGTTAGTGTTTTATTTGCCTATACTTATTTATTTTTTTTGTAAATGCGGTTATGGCTGGTGACTGAACGCAATCATTATAGGCTGCTAGGGTGTTTTACCTGTTCTGTTAATAATCTCACGATTCTTATAAGCATGGAAAGACCCTCCAGGTGCGTAAGTAGTACAACAACAACCCTCAGTTATCCACTATCAACCGTTAATATCTTGTTACAGATGTATTTGTTTTGATGATGCCGGCTACAAGTTCAACTCGTGATCATTACGGCTGTAACTGAATTTGATATTCATTTGGATATTCGTGTATGTATATTTTGTTCATTACAAAACTTATTAATGGCAGGCGAGACCTATGACTATGGCGTCTGTCTCAATGTAAAATTTTTACTAACTTTTCCTTAATAGTGACTTGTTGTGCCCGTTATTAACGGTCTGATCAGAAATTTGTAACATCTACTCAACAATATCAACAGCTGCCATCTGCTATAAATGAAAGTTGTCTGACTTATCTTACTTTTTCAGGAATAAGAAAACTGTTAATTATTCTGAATTTCAAGAAGCTGCTGATGGTACTGCATGTTTTCATTATATAAAGCATCATAGTATTGTTTATGTTTATAGATAGAACTTAAAAAGTAATTTATTAAATAGAACTTAAAGTAATAAAGTAATTTTCTATCAGGCAGAATGCATACAATATTTTCTGCAGTGCTTTCTTTCTGAAATGATGTTTCCTCGACTCAGATGACGACTTCACCTCTGTGAAAGTGCCACCCACCAAAAAGGCCCGAAAGTCCGTCAGAGAGCCGGAGCAAGAGAAGAAAGCTGAAAGTAAAACGATTACAACCACAAGCCAGGAGGCCAGCCCTCTGCAAACTAAGCCGAGGTAACCTCAAACGGCCTTGTCATAGGGTGTCAGAAAACACCCGTCAGCTAAAGCAGAAGGGCATTACATGGATCTATACACACAGCCATCAATGTATTTCCGAATCTAAATTAGCTTTTTGATTTTCAGAATCACTTAAACCAGTTAAAAAGGATAGACAGGATTCCTTTCTGCTTAAAAGGCCCCCTTGTGTCATTCTTAGCTGATTTCGGAATGAATTTCCCTGCCTGTGATCCTCCTGTGAAACAGAAAAACTGTGCAGATGCACTGTCCCCCCCAGCTTCCCCAAACGTGTGCCCTCGTGCCCCTGCTGTTTTATCTATAGCCCCCCCCTCCCGTCGCCTGTTCCTCATGACTAACCCGAGGTACAAATTGTGTGGTGTTCAGTGGAATGAGTTCATGCAGCAGGGTTATCACAACAAGACATGTCGGCATTTTTAAACGTTCCCTTTTGATCCACCACTGTTATTTTTTTTGTTCGATTTCGTGGCCCCTTTCTAACATTTGTTATCCAAAACGCCGTGTCTGTTTCAGGCTATCTGTGGATGAGAAAATGTACGAACGCAACTTGGAAGCGGCTCTTCAGCTGTCCATAATCGCGTCGGCCGCAGTGGCAGAAATCTCCGGTGAGAAGAGGGAGCACTTTCACATCACGGAGATTCCTCAAGGTTTCAGTTTCAGTTGCACTCCATGATGCAAAGACTCAGATTTTCATTTCAGTTTTTATTTCCCCCCCCCCTCTGCGAGGAGCCAATGAGAATCAGCCTCCCCCTGAACTGGATATGAAGGCTCCGTCTCCGTCACTGTCTAACTGCAGTGTGAACGCCAGCCTTTTGGGTGAGTATGATCTGATTTTCATTTAATCTATTTCGGCTATTTTTCGAATAGCGGTCTCAGGGCTCATTTGGAGTGGAACTGTTCAAAGACGCAATCGTGAAAAAACAAACACCTCTCTTAGGTCTGGATAAGATTACAGATGAGGTGGGGTCCCACAGCACCCCCTCCAGGCAGAGAAAAGCAGCATCTAAGGCTGCTGAGCAGCAGAAGCGAATACTGAGTGACGGGAGGGACAGCGGTGCTGAGAATGAAGGGGATGAGGATTACCAGCCCACTTGCACACCAGGTACCGGCCCACCAATAGCATTTTCTGTCTCATTTCGGTTTTAATTTTCTTCTCCAATAAAATCCTTTGTGAGAGGCTCCTCAGTCTATTTTTTTTTTTTTGGTATTGTAGCTGTAGCCTTGGGTATATTTATATGATTAGATATTGAAACCCCCAATAAACTGCCCGGTGCTGCTGGTGTACCGGCCACGCTCATCTCCACAGACGCTGATTCCGAAAGCGAAGGCGAGAGCGAAGAGGAGGAGTTCACGATAACGAAAAGCAGAAGTGTGAAAAAGGGAGGGAGTAAGAAGCAGACAGCCAGCCGCGCGGCGAGCTCGGGGAGCGAGAGGAAGCCCCGCAAGGCCGCCGAAGCGAAAGCAGGGCCTGCAAGTACGTTTTCCATTTCACAGCAACACAACTGAAGCTTTTACCAGATATTAGAGGAAAGCTTTGCCGCTGCTGCTCTTAATTCTGTGGCTCTTGATCAGCTGGCTTTGCTTGTTTGTTTATTATCAGAGACTCCCACAGCGTGTCGTGCTGCAGCTCCTTCAAGACCAGCTTCTGTGCCTAACATATCGAAATCTGCAGAACCCATCAGTCCAGCAGGGGGCAGACTGCCCAAATGGAATCCACCTGGTAAGAGTGCTTGGGCAAAATAAAGTGGTGTTATTGCAGCCGAAATGATGAAAGACAGTAGTTGTCCAGTAAATGTGAATTATTTCCGCTTAAGTGTTGTGCTTTCTGTTGCTAGGTCAGATTGGGCATAGTCCTACCATCACATCGAAGCCTGGGGGGAAATCTCCTGGTCAGGGTCTGAGACTGGGGCTGTCCCGCCTGGCCCGGGTCAAGCCCCTGCATCCCAGTCTGGCTCACTGACATTCTCCTGTGTGTTGGATACTCTGTGTGTGTATTTGTGTGTCTGGGGGGGGGGGAGCTGGTGTTTTGTGATTTTTGAGTTATTTTTAATTTACATTAGGTTATATATATTTTAATATTCCACTCTGCTTTCAAATTAAATTTCAAAAGTTGTCTTCCGGGGGTGATGCACGTCTTTTGCTTTGCTCTGACTCACTAAAGCTTTCTTTAAGAGATGACATAAAACAAGCCTTTTCAGCTGTTTTGCTTGCTTCAAACTCTGTACTTTGCTGTGGAATGGTGGTTGATCTGAGTTTCAGTATAAGATGAATAATACCTGGACATTTTATAAATAGTTTTAGTTGCGTTGCCTGGGTACAGAATTTAGTTGCGTCTGCGTGGTGCACCGGCTCCCCCTACTGGACTGACTTGGAATTTAAAACTTTTTTTTTTAGGTCTTTGAAGTAAATGGCGCATTTAGTACGTCCTCATTCTGTCAAATTAGCCGTGTGTGAGCTAGCAACTAGTTCCTGTTTTTGTTTTTGTCTTGTTTACCGTTTTCTCCGTGTATGTTTGTCAAACTTTTTTATTTTTAAAATAATTTAATAAAGATTTATTATTTGGAAAAGGAGTTAACTCGCAGTTGACGTGCGTTTGTTTTGAGTGCGCTTGTATCCGTTATCTACAGCTTTTCAGGAAAGTTATGGAAGTCAGTAGTTTGTAAACTGGAAACATGAAATATATGATAATATGAGCGTCAGAGCATTTATAATGGGTATCTTTAAGCTATGGGTTATCAGCACCCAGGCCTATAAGTTACTTTAGTAAACTGGCCTGTGGTTAAACCTGTACCCTGCTTATATGATATTTACATTTTATTTATGCAGCGGGGGCATTTATCCAAATGGAGTCAGATGAGTAAGGTGTCGCGCTGACCTCATCATTTCTGCATTTGATGTCCAGGGCTTGTGTGATTCTGTTTAGGGGCTCCACAGCCGGTGGTGTTGGAGATAATGCCGCTTTCGGCGCAATAAATAGACTGCAGCATTTGATTTCACAATCTTAATGGAAGACCCCTATTAAATATGCATGTTGTATCGGTTGCAGGTATTTAAATCGTGCACTAACACAACACAGCTCGGTTTCCCGCTCGACAGGTGTTTGGTGCGAATCACTGAAACCTATCTGATGCTTGATATTGTACTATCGTTAATGTGGGGAGGAGAAGTCTTACAGTAGTTATCTAGTATGACACTACGACACGCTTGATGTGAGGAATTTATCTGTTACTAAACGTGGAGAGGGGTAAGGGGAACTTATAACTCGGTTTTAGTTTTTACCCGATGAAATTAGTGCATGAAAGCTACTCGATCAGAGAGGGTCTCCGTGCCTAAGAAACCGGTGTATGTTAGTGGATGCTATATGAAACTCTGCAGTCGGCACTGATGTAAGCTGTTCCGCTTCGCCAGTGGATGAAATCTTAAACCACAAACGCGACACTTTGCGCGGCCAGAGAAAACGAGACCGACGGCACCTCGCCGACAGTGTCCGGCGCCGCCCGACTCCCATCCGGTTCTCATGGTTACTGGGGATGCCGCACGCGAGCGCCCCGGTCACTCCGCACGTGGACGTTCCGTTCTGGGACCTTCAGCCAGAAGCAACAGCAAGCATGATCGCCGCCGACCGATGCACTAAGAAAACGTAAGCAGTACAACTTTATCCATCGTGTTTCCAAGCGCTATTGTTTTTGTATTGTACTTTCTTTACCTATGGGGTTGAACTGCCATAACAGACGTTCTTCGCAAAGTTTTGACGTAATTTGAAATAATCTAGGGCAGAGGTTTTGTCAATGTATACGTTTAATTCTCTGTTACAAAGTATACACTAGTGGCCAAAATTGTGGAAACGTTTTTTCCATTACACTTTAAAAATTGCTACATGAATAGCAGTAATGTTTATAAACAATCAAAGCATGTTAGAAATATACATCGGACGATTAAGTGACGAGTTAGTGGAATCTGCACTCTCTAAAAAATGTGTTTCCACAATTTTGGCCACTAGTGTATACTGTCAAACGTACATAAAATTCATGGGGTAGTTCTCATCTATGGTCATTTAGGCTTCTCTTTTGAATGCTTGTCTTATTTCTGTATTATGCTATGAGGATATATAATAGCCGCGTCCTTTAGTGATTTAATAAATTATAATTACTCGAAGTGGGGAAATCTGTTAGGAAGGTGTTCAGTCTGAGAATTCACCCAAACAGGATTTAATTTTCGCGCAACTTTTCAGCAGGAAAATATTGAAGAGCCAGTCAGAAAATCCGACGAAAGACAACAGCCAGACCCTCCCACTCCTGAAGAAGGTGAGACGCGTGAATTAAGGAAAGGAAGCAGTGATTTTCTGCTGGATGATTTATCAGAGCTGACTTTCAAGGAGTTTCCTTCCAACTTCAGGGCAACTGAGGTGAACTCCTTTAGTAAAATTATTAAGTTATTGTGAGGCTCTCACTGCTGCCAGATTTGTACAGCAGACGATGTCGCAGATGTATTATGCAGTTTTCAGCTGGTATTAACTATGTCCACGGTATGGATGCAGAGTATTATCAAAGAGAAGCAGGGAGGTGTTTTTCCGAGACGCCGACTCCCCTCTTGGCTGAATGTCCCGTAGAGCTGTCAGAAGCGGTCGGTGTGCTGCGCGCTGATTCCTTTGTCCCTAAACAAACCCGCAGGACCTTTTCAATGTGCGGTAGGCTGATTTATTCAGATGCACTTTTGCTTCTTGGCATCCGTGGTCCGCTGGATGGGAGGGCGGGCCCGCCGGTGCTATGCCGCCTGCTGGTTTGCTCTGTATGGTTAACAGGGCTGTCAATCAGCCCGCCTGACCGGCCCGGTTGTTTGCGCACGTGTTTCATAGTAAATACGCCAATCACAACGTCACCATTACATTTAACAGTTAATTTATTTTCATGTTCTTCCTGTCTTCACAATTATTGTATCACTGCCAGAACATTTAGTGTAGTGCACATAAACCAAGCCTGTCTTATACCAAAAAGCACACTTCTTTGGGTAAATCAGAGCAGGCCAAGTTGCTTTTTATATGAACTGTTCATTATGTTTTTCTTGTCCTGCTGATTGAGACATACACGGTCATAAGTGAACGTTCACGGTTGCTGCCTGGATGAGTCGATGGGTTCTTACCGGAAGATGGTGTCAAGCTGTCGGTCACCGCTCGGGGTATTATTGTGCCCCGTGTGTCACCTCCAGCACTGGGCCGGGTCGGGTTTCCCATGCGCGGCTGATTAAGTTTTAATACTTCACGCTGCAATCTGAAATGACTGCTGCGGCCTGACGGCTTAATCCCTAAGATACACGGAGAAACACAGGCTATCTGGGCTGTAAGTAAAGAAACGGGGAATAGGCGGGAATGCAGACTGCGCTGTATGCAGTTGTACTATCGCTTTTTGTTGGACGGATTTTGTTGTCGGAGGTCAGTGCACTGGGTTCTTCTGCCTGCGTTCCCACATTCCCACCGAGAGTAAAAGTGATGTTAGTAACCGAAACGGTGCCAGCGAGCGTCGACACAAGCTGATCATTTATACACTTATATTAAATATGCCAAATACATGGCCCCGACGGCCTCCCGTAATTTGGGGTGTTTTTGTTGTGTTCTCCAGGTCCTAGTGCCACGCCTCTGTGGGCGGGGCTCCGTACGGTGCAGAGAGCCTTGTCCTCCCTCTCCGCGGCACCCTTAAGTGTTGGCACAGGGCCCGAGCTGAAGTACTCGCCGTAAAACCGGCATCTTTAAAAGGCCTGTTAATGTCTGTCAGTGCCGTAACCATGGGAACGCTCGAGGCCTCTCTGCGGGGGCGGGGCCATCCCCTTTGTGTCACCGTTCCTCAGGAGCCAGGTGGGAACTGGCTCAGACGTCGTGCTTTTTTACCGCTGTGTTCAGGTACGGCAGGGTGGTGATTATGTTGGGGACCCCATGTTTGGCTGGCACCCCTGGGAAATTGCACCCTGAATCTACGCTGACTGCAAACATGTCTTAAGTGTCTACGATTCACTGTTTGTGTTGGACTGAGTTACGCGATTCTCGCACTCTTGATTACTGCTCTCGCCTTTAATTTCCTCCTCTCCCTATGGGACTGAAATGTGCTCTTTTCTGGGGAGAGACACTGGGGGGGTTAATCTCCTTGTTTAAGGCCCCCAGCCACGACGTGAGTACTTTGCCGACCCCAGAATTTGAACCAGACCTTTTGATATTAATCCACAGAGCCACACACTCCACCCCCCCTCTCCCCAGTCCTGGGCCTGGGTGACTGGCCCTCCTTGCCCTGACGGAGACCCCGCCTGCCGGACTTCCCTGCGGAGCGCTCCGTCGTGGTCTGACACCAGACACTGGCTGGTAGTGGACCATTTAACTGGGGCCGGCCGCTTTGAGGTGTCATCATATCGGTGTCTTTTCACTCCAGCTCGTAGTGACAAAGGAGGCCGGTCTCCTGGCAGGGCCCCAGTCACACACCCCCAGGGAGTACGGTTACGTGGCTGTCCTCTGGGTTAACCCCGCCCCCCACTGCACCATCATTCAGCTCCTCCAGTTGCCATGGTTACTGTGGCTTGCGGGGAGTTCCCTGGTAATGCCAGGGCACCAGGCTCCAGCTCAGCCCCCCCCAGCCCCAAATGCAACGAGTCCTAATTGGGCTGAGGGGGAGGTGGTAGCCGATATTCTGGGCAAACCATATCCCTGGGGGGGGGGGGGGGTGGCGTTAATGAGCAGAGGTTTCAAAATATCAAATTATCCCCCCTGGCTTAGTGACGCTGAGTCAGAGGAACAAACAACACATCACATGTAAACAGATCCCAGTCCCCCCAGTGAGAGCGCGTGGGGGACGTGCTGGGACCGGCAGCCGGGCCAGAATCGTGAGCCAGGCCTGATCTTACCTGCTGGCATCAGAAGATCTTTTCTTTTCTTAATTCATTTTCACACATTATGATGCAATGAGTCTTTGTTTGTCTGGAAAGCTTATAAGCTGCACATTCCCTTGGCAGGATGCCAATGAACTGAGTGCACCCCCTCAGCCCCCCCGCTCAGTTTTACCAATCTACAGTATAATTGTCATTATTTGTCTCCAAAACTGTACTGAAGTTATCCATTTAAATATCAGATAAAATTTTCAATTTCAATTTTGCCCTCAATTTTTACCTAGAAGCCTACCAAAACATTTATTAAACCAAGTACTAAAATAAATTCATACCAAAATCCCACAATGTGCCATGGAAGTAAAAGTGAGGTGCTGACTCATGGGGTCAGGGGGGACCCCAATAGCTTAATCTCAAAAACCATTAAAGATAATGACTTGAATATTTTTATTTATTTATCTGGTATCGAAATAAATCATTCTGACTAATGAGTCAATTTTTAATTTTTACCTGCCGGGACCTAGTCTGTGTTGGCCTGCCTCAGAGTCTGAGCCCCCTGGCAGCCATCCAGGGCGGGTCGCTCTTGTTACGTGACCCTCTTTTGTTTACACAGTAGCGTGGAGCTTGTGACTGCTCTCCTCTTACATGCGTGACGTGTGGCTCTCTACTGCCTCTGTCCGGGAGAGAGACGGAACATGGGAGTCCGTGAAGACCAGCGAGATGATGAGGACATCGAGGAGACCAGCCCACAACATTTATTCATGTTCTGCTCTTTAATATCTTTGTTAAATTTGAGAATCATCTTATTAAATGTTGTTCTTCTTGTCCACGTGAAGGAAAACCTTAATCTAACACTTTTATCCAAAGCTATTTATAGTGGAGGAAAGGATTAACATTTTATGTGTGATGATGGGATTCAAACCCACAACCTTTGTGTTGTGAACCCAATTCTCCATTTATTCAGCTGCTGGAGCTACTGAAACTATACTTACCTATGTGGGTGTCTCATACTTGGGGACGATCCAGGCAGATTGAGATACTCGTTTGAGGTAACATGCGGAGTGTCATGACACAGGGACAGGAGGAGGGTACAGGGTTATGCGTGTGGTTGCTAAGGAGACAGGAGCAGGTAGAGGAGGTGTGGTCCCAGCTGCAGGCGTACCTGGCGGACATCCTGCCTTAGGGTGACCAGATAATCCATGTCAGGGAGCTACTTCGGGTTTTACAAACTACTTTCAAATTAAAAGGCTCCTGTGTTCAGCTAAATAGTTCAGCTCTTCTTGTGCTTTGACTGGTTTGTTTCCGTGACTGAAAGACTCATCCAGCTGTTTCATATTAGCATTAGTGACACATGCATGATTATAGGAGACTGACCAATCAGCACACAGCAAGAACTCAGTGCTCAAGTCAAATCCAGGTCTGTTTAATTGAAATGGTAATTTACAATTCTTGTCCTAGCTCAGAGTGTCCTCCCTGACATGGATTATCTGGTCACCCTATCCTGCCTGCCGGTGCCTCGCATCCGGGGAGATGTTTACATGTTTATTTAAAGCTTTCCTGCTTCACGATGTACAGTGTTTAGCATTGCATAGAAATATCCCTGCTGTAATGTTTTTGTTCCATCCGAGGATCTTACACAACACTAGCAGCGAGCTGTTGGGGGTGTATTGGTGAACCCCCCCCCCCCCCCCGCTCCATGTGTAGACCCCATATCTCTGTTTACTGCACGTGTGTGACTGTATGCATTTGGGAAGTGGGGAAAGAGGTTTGATGTGTCCTCGTGATTTACGTCACTTTTGGCAGGTGTATTTATCCAAAGTGCCATATAGGGTCAGCCGGTCCCTGGACCATTTGGGGCTTTATGGTCTGGCTCACAGGACCCAACAGTGACACCACAGGATTTGAACTAGCGACTTTCCGATCATTGTCGTAGTGTCTTAACCTGCTGGTTGCACACACAAACCCCCAAGACAGACCATCACTCTTGGATTACAGACCTACTACCCCCCCCCCCCCCCCACCAAACCAGCAGTCCTGAAATTATTAATAACATGATTCTGAGCTGGGTGCTCAACTCTTATTCGTATATGGGGGGGTGGGGGGTGGAATACGAAATAAAGCGATTGTGAAGATGCCTCATACCCACGGAGGATCGGAGTGTGTTTTTAAGCAACGCAAAGACGGAATGACAGTATCAAACATTTAGTGCTGCTTTGTGTTATATATAGCCTCTGCATCTGACAGTGCGAGCGGCCCGCTTTCTCCCCTTGGCGGGAACGTCGAGGGACAGTGAACCTCTAACGACCGACCTCGCTGATCAGTAGCCCGTCTGCTAACAGTTCAGTACCGGTATGGGATGGGGTACATCTCTCATGGTGATGTGAACCGTGGGGGCGGGCTCTGACCTGTGTGTGACCCTAATCCACTGACATACTGGCTGGCTGCTATATGTGGCAGATGCTTCTATCTCATTGGTGTATAAGGCCTTGCTCAAGGGTCCAACCGGGGTGACCCACAAACCTCTGACTTGTCAGGCTGGTGTCCGGATCAAAGGCGTCCCCCCATCTCATCACCCATCTTCCTGCTTGCGCTGTTTCTGGGAGTGACGCTGTTAAAAAGGTCAGGAGCCAATTTAGATTTGGGGGGGGGGGGGGGGGGGGGGGGGGCATGGAGCTCTCTTGCCCTCTCTCCAGATTTTACTCAGAAAAGCCTTTCTTCCCCCATCCCCCCCCCCCCCCCAGTTCTCTTAAAAAGGCGCGCGGTGCATCGCAGGCATTTGGTGATGTGGCCATGCTGGGGGGGTGATGATTGTGGGAGGAGGCACTACACCAGCGATGCAGTCTGGGACGCCCTGCTTCAGTCTGAATTCCCCTGCCACCCCTCCCCCCTCCCAGTCCTGCCAGTCAGTTGACTGCTGTCCCAGGAGGCGTTACACCTGGGAGGAAGAGGCACCTGCCGACGGCCCGCAGCTCCCGGAACATCCTCCCCCAGCATCCTCCGGGGCCCCCGGCGGGGTCCCTGCCCACGTCAGCCCCGTCTGGCCACGCCCCGCCCCGTTCCCCCTCCGGACCCCGAAGGAAAACGCCGGTTCCGAGAGATGAGCAGGGAAGAGCCTTCGCCTCCTTCCTCCTCCTCTCAGGACGGCAAGGAGCAGAGGAGCTGACTGAGTGCGTCGATGCCGTGACGGGCGTCTGCATGGGCAGAGCGAGAGGGGCGGCCCGCTTGGGTGACAGACGGCGCGGCGCCTCCTCCAGGAGAACCACAGCACCCACAGACCCCAGGCGTGGCAGCATGGGGGAGCCCAACCATGTGGGGGCACCACGCCTGCTGCGGATTTAGCTTCCTGCAGGACTGCTGCGGGACGGTGATGCGCGGGAGCCGGAGGGTGCAGCCTGAGGTAATGGGGGGGGAGGGCTGGCTCGTCATCCCTCCCCTGATCGATCGCTCTCTCGCTCGCTCGCTGCCTCTCGATCCCCCATACTTCTGCAGCCCCTGAAAATGTGCAGTGCCAGGCTTTCTGTGTTTCGGGCCGCGCCAGCTGAAGCACTGTCACCCGTGAGCAGACAGGGGGCGCCCTTGTAAACGCGCGTGTGCGTGTGCGTGTGCGTGTGTGCGCGTGTGTGTGTGTGTGTGTGTGTGTGTGTGTGTGTGTGTGTGTGTGTGTCCTCACCGCTGCCGAGGTCAGGGAGGAGATGAGGCCTTTCGGTTTGGAGGTGAAGATCTGCAGGATAATCATTCGCGCATCTGAAATTTTCCTCCGCAGTATCACAGTGGCAGATAAAGCTAATTCTCTGTACTACTTCCTACAGCTTTACTACTAATAATACTACTACTACTAATAGTGGTGATGATGATAATGAGTTTCATCTTTATTTTTCTGTGTTTCTGAACCCTTTACCCAATCAGCATCTGACTTGACAGGAACGTAAACAAGAAGTAGTGCCAGTAGTGTATATATTTGTCTGTTCTCTTTATAATACGTCACAGATTATGTTAATTTTTCACAGAATCAATTAGGATTGGCTTGATTCATAGTGATAGTGATGCGTGTGTGTATCTGTGGAGGAGGCCGAGGGGGATTCTGCAGTGAGTGTGGAGGGTGCGAATGAGTCAGGGGAAGCCACGCCGGGGGCCAGACCAGGGGGGCTGCATGCTCTAGGTGGGCGTCGGCTAAGCAGTGAGCCTCGATCCACCACAAACTGCTGTCTGAGCTCCCGGTTAATCGTCCAGTTTCAGGAGCTGTAGGGCTGTCAGTGGGTGAGGGTCATATACGGGATCTCAGCCCTTAACCATTCTGTGGATCGGAGCTGCAACGGCAAGATTCGACATTCCAGGCTTTATTTGTCGCATGCACAGTCATGCTGGTACCAGGCCCACAGGCAGAAATAAATTTCACGGGGGTGTCCAGCAGCTATAGCAATTGTTCTGATATTGCAGAAATGGCGGTGGGGGATTCAAACCCTTAATTTTATGACCTGGCCACGTGCCTGGCTGAAAGAACTTGCAGTAAAACCAGCATCGGGCTTGTTCCTGCGACTGTGCAAAAAAGAGAGTGTAGAAAAAAATAAATGAGGGAGGGTGTCTGTCACTGGCTACTGTACGTGTTGCCTGTTGATTATATGCAGTAAGGGCTACTTTACTGGAATCTGACTGCGTTAAACGACTGAGAGACATCGGTCACTCGCGATCTAATTGCTTAATGAAGACTTGCATATTTACAAGAATCTACGTAACTGTTGGCATGTAGAGGAATGAAAGGTTACCTGGAAGGTGGTGTCTCAGCCGGGCAGATACTGTTCCATGTTCCCTGTTCCTCTGAGAGACCCCCCCTGTCGGAGTTTCTGAGCGAGCCCGTCTGCTGGCGTCGCGTTCAGCGGAGGATTGATCGTACCCAGCAAAGCGCGCTCCTGTTGCATAACGCCTCCTCTAATCATATCTGTCTTTTCTGAGTGAGTGATTTGGACTCTTGATGTGGGTCTCCGTGGGAAAATAATAGGGGGTGTGGGTTACAGTGCTGCCCCCATGCGTGCAGTTCTAACTGTGAAGCGTGCGAATACGCAAGCTGGGCATTTGTACAAGTGTGATTTATACAATTACGGGTGCCTTTAAAGCCTTTTAAGGGCATGATAAAGAAGTCCTGTATATGGAATGGAACTGGCTGGCTGTCTCGAGTATCTACACAGACTTACCAGTCCTTTTTAATGTCCCTACATAGCCTACGCCTGGCTTTATGGTCATATTTTTATCCAGTGAATTTATGCGGTAGTAGCTATTTTTCACAGAATATTTTTGATGATTCCCCAATACTTGTGCTGGCTGAAGTGGTCAGCAGGGAGGATTTTTGTCGATTCTTGTTTTTTTTTTCTTTGCAAGAACTGCGTGCACGAGGGAGCGCTGACCTGTTTTTACAGTAACATCACATATGTGTGCGTAGGCGGCCGTACATCAGCATCCAGGTGACGGGTGAGGAGACGAGAATAGACCTTACTCGGGAGAACCAGCTGCCGGCTTTGCTAGCCTGACCGCCTTGGGGGGAGGGGGGAGTCAGCTTATCCCCTCTCTCCATTTGATCTCCTGCTGACGACCACTTTTCTGTACCTGTGGCTGCGGATTCTCACCTGCGCAGACTGGCTGCGTGTCCCCTATCCGCGGACGCCCGGGATGCGTGTGCGCTGTGTGGTCACCGGCATCGTGTGGCTCCGTGCCTGTTAATGTTCTGTCACAGTGCAATGGCACAGAGGTCCCCGCTGATGTGACGGAATGCTTCCTGACATTAATGAGAAGGTGAGAGCGCGATGCGTAAAAAGCCGAATGCTGGTGAATCCTGCTGATGCTGTAATGTGGATTGGTTACGACGAGTTATCGGTGTGGATTCTTATGGTTTTGGTTTTAAACTGTTTTTTTTTTTTACTAATATTTAGTCATGCCTTGCCTTTTTATGAAAATACAGTAATTTCACAACATTGTCTGTACTGTTTGAAATACATTGTTTTTAAACTTTGCGTTTGAAGCGCACTGGCAAAGCATACATAATCGCTGTATGCTTATAAACTAATAATTTAAACCCGATGTAAATGAAACGTTTGTCAGTTGGCAATGGGAAAATGTTGTTGACCAGCATTTAAGGTTGCCTATATATTTCATTCATTCTCGGAGTAATCCTGAAGAGTAAGAGTGTACCATCCCAGTATGTTATCGCTTTGAGTTGGTCATTAAGCTGGAAGAGATGCATAACAGTCAATTCCACAGGTGACATTTGTGGGTTTTTTCTTTAATTTGAAGCAACTTACTGGCAAAAGAAAGGTTATAATTTATGTACACTCCCAGGTACTAGAACCCACAACCTTTGTAGCAGTAGCACAACACTCTACTTGTTGGGCAACAGGAGGATCGACATTTGGTGGGGGGCACTGAGGGACCCTGGAGGGGCATTTCATGGCTTTGCCATTTTGGGTCTGGGGCTCGATTGTGGCACATTTCTCTGAGGAGGGGCTGTGTGTTTGCATGTACTCGCCTTCATTTCCTCTGGTGTGACCCTGAGTGCCCTGTCATAGCGTGGGCATCGCCCTTCCTCACTTCCTCTGCCTGTGACCCTGAGTGCCCTGTCATAATGTGGGCATCACCCTTCCCCACTACCTCTGCCCATGACCCTAAAGTACATCCATGGCTCTGAGAAATCAGCAATAATATGTGATCAAATTAACATATGTCCATAGGTGTGACTGAATGGTGTGTGTGTGTGTGTGCCCTGCACTGGGCTGGCGCCCCATCATGGGTTGTTCTCTGCCTTACATCCGTAGCTTCTGGGATAGGATCCAGATCCCCCTGCAACCCTGAATAGCACAAGCAGTCACAGAAGATGGATGGATGGATACAGCATGTTATCACATTTTGCCTCTGTTGAAGCCACATGACATATTACTTTTATTAATTTCCTGAAATTCGGTGTCTGATTGGCAGCTATGAGCACATGTCTGTGTCCTCGATGGGCCACATAGAGCAGAGTCTCTGTGTCATTTCAAAGCTCAGGACCAGATCATATTCAGCCTCCACTGACCCTCAGACTGTCTGACCTATATAGATGCCCCCCCCCCCCCCAAGCGTGTGAGCCTGTGGGGCTCAGGCTGCACTCTTGTCATCATCCTCTTCTGGAACATCTGCTCCACCAGACTGCAGAGATCTGCATTAACGCTGTGCACTTTTTTTTTTTTAAAAGTAATTCTCTTCTGTTGGGAGCTTTGCTCAAAAACATAAAGCTTTACAGTTAATTTTTCATGCAATCTAAACGTTTATCGATTCATAAATAAATATCCAAGCACTTCAACTCAATATAACAATGTAACAATACTGACAGTGCACTTTCAAGCAATGTCAAGCATGCTTGGTAAACAGAGGAGTCCCCACAGATTAGACCATCCAAATGGACAGTAAAACAAGTAAAAGAGCTTTTACAGTCATCTGATGTACAGTATATTATAATTCTATTCCATAGTTTCTTTAACCGAAGACACGAATAACACAGCTCATGCATGACTGGAAATAACAGGATTATTTTTTCAAATGATTTCCCTGAGCTCGAGCTTAGCATTTTAACACCAATGCATGTCATTGTTAAACCGCTCTCTCATCCATCAGCATACTCATGTAAAACTAGGTATGGGGGGGCAGGGGGGGGGTTATTCACACACAATCCACATGCATTGGGCCACCTTGCCCTTTCTGAGTGCTCATACATTCACCTCTTAGCCATGAGCTTGGAACATGGGCTCGTGAAGGACCAGCTATTTCATGACCTGCGCACACTCGCATGTCACCGCTGCCTCTGGGGGCTGCCATCTTGGGTCGATAGCACGGGCCTGGGGGTTTAGCTCGCTGGGTCATATACTGCTGCTCTCGGGGGCGGTTCTAGGATTTGTTAAAGTGTGGGGCCTAAGAGGGGTCAAGGTTCATATGGAGGGGTCAACCGTATCATTAGCCAATGAAATGTTTTGAATTTGTGAGTGACAGGGGATGGGGCACTATGGGAGCCAATCAGCTTTCAGCTGGGGTCAGTGCCATTGAGGCCCCACTCCATACACATCCATGAATGGCTAGTCTGAGGTGGCTATCAGGCTTCCTCTGGCCCCCACAACCCACCTCCGTCCCTGTATGCAGTCATTTGTTCCCGCTGTGCAGGACTGAAAGAACCTCGGTTACAAGGAGTGTTTGTGCTTTGAAGGGTTTAAGTAGCTAAAAATATTGCAGTTTAATTAAAGCTACCAGCTTCATCCATTTATATAATCTGGAGAGGCTGTCAAAATTGGAGCCAGACGAAGGGGAAGGCTGAACTCCTCCCGTTGTCCTGGATTCATAGGTGGAGATTATGAGATGTGTGGGAGTAGATTTGTCTTATCAGATAAATGAAGCCCTGATCATTTCTCCCCATAGTCTGCAAGACCTGATGCCTTCCCCGAGAATCACAGGATCCAGGGTGACGCCGTCCACCAGGGATCCACCCGGATCTCCCATCAGGTAATCCCTGGGTCTCACAGCCTACTCAGATGATCCATCCAGAGACTCGATTGCTATCCCTGACCCATACTGATCGCCCATCTCCATATTTGGTGCATACTAATCATTTAACAAAGGCAGGTTTAATGTGTCCTCACCTACTAAACCATAGAGGCCACAGTCATGTGGGACTGAAAAGTATGTGCAGTATTTACCAGACACTTTTACCCAAAGTGATACGCAGAGTCAGCCAGTCCAAGGAGCTCAGGGGCGCGATACTGACGTCACCCTAGGATTTGAACCAACAACCTTCCAATGACACGCACAGTGTCATAACCCCAACATGTATCATGTATAACATATATCAGCTGCTGAACCCTGTGTAGATCCTCCAGCCCTCTTTACGCTTTCAGGAGTGCATGGAACTAAAGCCAATTATAGCAAGCAATTCCAACACTGCACACATGAGTGCGCTGCAGTCACTGGCGATTCAGGGCAAACCCTTGGCGGGTCGCCAAGCTCAGTGCGCAGTGGCGTAGAGCCACAGGCCAGCGGGGGTGAAGCTAGGGGCTGCAGGATGCAGTGAGACCCAGGGGGGAGTAGGAGGGCTTCTCACGTTCAGCCCCCTGCAGGGCAGCACTGACAGCCCCTGTCAGCCCCCCGGCCCCCAGCCCTTTGTTCCTGTGCTCCTCCTCTTCCTGCTGGGTAATTCCACCCCACACATGGGGGGGGGGGGGTCACAGCATCCCCCCAGATCTTCTCTCCTGGTGGCTTCCTGCACCGTTACCGTCTCCCCACCTTCTTCCTCTTCGTCGTCCCTGGGAGAAGAAGCAAGGCACCGGAGTGGGCACCCTGCCCCAGCTGGAGGTGCCCGTCAAGCAGGTGGCGCTGAGCCATGCCAAGACCCAGCACCAGTGTGACAACATCCTGCCTCACATCGCGAACAAGAGCGGCCACCAGACACGGCAGGTGGGCTCCATGGTGCTGCCTGTCATTATCATCGCATCAATAATTAGGGGTGTAACGAGAGACCGATTCGAATCCGACTTCCGCTCCAAGTGTCTACGATACATCTGCATCAATTCGAAACTCCCAAACTGGCTCAAATTTAAAAGGGAATTGGCCAAAAACTGTTAAAGCCCTGACAAGTCGATATGCCCGTCAAGGTACTATTACTGTATTTTACCATAATATTTTAAATGGTAAGATCTTTAGTTCTCTAGTGTCTCACATGGCTTTTGAAGTGACTTATTTTGAAAACTAGTAGAACACTTTAATACATGTTAATTTGATCTAAATTGTATCCAGTCAGAGCTGAGTAGAGTCATATTTGAATGAGATCATATCGAATCACGGCTGAATCGAAATGTATTGAATCATTAGACATTTAGCTGTACCTTTTTGGATCGTATCTTTGACCACGCGTCACTCCACCTGAGAGGGAGACATACAGCAGCCCTATCAGCAGCACCTCAGCAAGAACCTCACATTTCAGGATGCATTTAAGCTGTTACTGTCAAGCTCCAGTCAGCTTTCAGCTCAATTACAATGTTGATTTGAAACTCGCTTGTCAGGCAAAATCTCGTCCAGCAAGAACGTTTCCACGTTACTGCTATGACAAAGAGCGGAACCCAGCTATTAGGGGTGTTTTTTTGGGGGAGGGTGGGGAATAGATAAGAAAAAAGGGGTGAAAATCTGCCTTTTATTAATCACCATCTCACAGAAGAACACTAAACAACATTTTCGATTACCTTAACTTCACATAAAATAACTACGTAAACAAAAAAAGTAATAGTATAGTGTACTGGATAACTGAAATGTTCCCACACTGCTGACTAGAATGTGCCCGGATGCACTGCAATCAATCATGATTGGGCTCAATCATGATTGGGCCAAAACAGTCACGTGACACACACAGTTGGAAGACAAAGAATTAGGTGTGACGTGTAATATTTATACAACATGCAGTTTGCCGTAAATTTAAACAGAATAATAATTTTGTGATGAACAGTAGTGAATGAATAGTAGCGTAATGAGAGTTCAACTCCTTAACCCTGACCAGGATAAGTGGATGGATGGCTGGATGGATAAAAATTCTCACTAAAATGAATGCTGGGATTCCTGGTTGCCATGATCTGCGGCTCAGCCACAACACAGTACAGTTTTAAAAATAAGAAGTGAGAACTGGGTTATGGAAGTGACAGGACTGCTGGACTGTTTAACCCTTCTGGTTAACAGGAGGAGAGACAGAAAGTGCTGCGTCTTCCTGCCAGGTTCAGCTCCTCAGTGGAGAACCTCAGTGAACCTTTAAGCCCCAAGAGTGTTGGCAAGAAGCCAGAGAAGGAGAGATACTTTGAGGGCCTCAGGCTGCCAATGTCTCCCACAGGTGAGTAGTCGTCTATGTCTGCTGGGTTGAACAGTTCAACTACATGATTCATGACAGGGGTCCCCAATTTCTGACCAGAATCCAACACAGTTTGTCTGCTCAGAGATACCTACTAAACCTGGTATTTCACTAAGGAAGTTTGAGCAGGGAGATCTGCAAACAGACTGGAACTGGGGAGCCCTGATTTATAATTACTGACATCCTATCTCACATATGTGGTCATCCCCCCCCCCCACAACCCAACCTATACAGAAGCACTGAAACACTTCCGAGACCGGCTGACAGAGTTTGAGCAAGAGGAGATCCTGGACTACTCTGAAATTTGGTTCCTTGGCCTGGAGACAGAGAAGATTGAGGCCAATCACAGCATATCTCCAAACTATGGTTATGATGACGAGAATGGAAGCTACATCAAGGCAAGTGTTTCAAGTCTGAGGTAGTCCTGTTATGAGCAATGTAGACCACTGGAAATTGTCTGTGAGGGATAATGTAGACCACTGGAAAGGCCACAAATTCATAAGAGAAGCTGAGATCTTTGACAACCTTGAGGTACTCTATGTGTTTAAAGACTACTTGTAAACTCTCATAGCAAATACTCAGGCTGGCCTTGTCATGTGATTGTCCAGGTCCAGCACGACCAAATCGGGTACCGCTTCGAGGTCCTCGACGTGATCGGAAAGGGGTCCTTCGGACAAGTTCTGAAATGTCTGGACCATAAGACCAACGAGCTGGTGGCCATCAAAATGATTCGCAACAAAAGGAGGTAGCTGTGGTTTTATGTTCTGAGAAATTAGCTTCTCCTTGGGCGAAATAGCAGCTTGTTAGCTGTTTCCATGAATCAGAGCCCTGGTTTGAGATGATAGATATCATTAGGTGGTACTGAGATCTCTGGATGGATGTTAGGGTTACATGTGTAGAATGATCCTTTCTAGGTTCCACCACCAGGCTCTTGTTGAACTGAAGATCCTGGATGTAGTGCGGAGGAAAGACAAGGACAACAGCCACAATGTCATCCACATGAAGGAGTATTTCTACTTCCGGAACCATCTCTGTATTTCCTTTGAGCTCTTGGGGTAAGAGCAGGACATCCACAGTATGACTGACGGCTACAGCGGAACGAACCATGAAAAGATGAGATTAGATTCTGTTTTCTTTGTTCTGATCTAAAACGGTACGCAGCTAGCTTCTATCTGTGTCATTTTTTGAGATGAGCTGTGAGACTTGGTGGCAAGGCTTTCATGTTGGATTTTAAACAGCTGTGTTTTCTCCAAAGCTACAGTGCAGCACCGATAGTGATGTCAAAGGCATCGTGATAAAAGTTCTGTCTAAACCCTGCATATTTTTGCAAAGTTCCTTCTCAACATACAGCTAAGCAACATCTTTGATGTTTTATGGATGTTCTGTGGGGGAAAAAAGTAGTGGAGAGGAATGCATTTTACAAAACAAGACATTTTAAAAAGTAGAATCTAGGACACTTTGCCTGCTTAGTTCATTAGGGATGGTTACATAATGTCTAGCTAACCTTAGCGTGGTGCACAGCTAGTAGTTAGTAACTGAAAAATGGGTGAGAATGCCTTGGTTATTTTTGGGGGGGGGGGAGTGGTTTACACAGCAAGGTGACCTTTACAAGTTGCCTAATGCCCTGATTAGAGCCTTATCAGTACCTGGTGTCGCGGCTCTAGTTAGCATAGCCGGGGGTTTGTCTATCACGCTCTCCAGTACCATGTACCAGGAACGACTCCGCAATTATGATGTCAGTAAAACAAGCTTTCCATTGTAAGCATGAAATTATTTTTACATTTTTACCTTTCGTGCAATATACTTTGGATTTGGATTCACTCATGTAAGGTAAAGCTGACACCTAAATGCCATGCAATGATAAAATGAAATGATGATTAATTAGATGATGAGGGGGATGTGGGCAGCATCCCCCTTCAAAGAACCTGGGGATTGTGTGCAGTACTCAAGGACCTCCAGACAGTCCATGTTTTTGCTCCCTCCCTGCTGCCAGAATGGTCACATTTTTTCTCCCTGTGAGCTGAGAGGGAGCAAAAACATGGACTGTCTGGAGGTCCCCAAGGACTGGGTTAAAAAACACTGGTGTGGAGTATTAGGGAATCGGGTCTCAACCCTCTTATCCACAGATCAAACCTGTATGAGCTGATCAAGAAGCACGACTTCCAAGGCTTCAGCCTGATGCTGGTGCGGCGCTTCGCTCACTCCCTGCTCAAGTGCCTGCAGATGCTGCACAGGGAGAAGATCATCCACTGCGACCTGAAGCCGGTGAGGAGGCCATGTTCATCTTCAAACAAGCTTTTGGGCATCAGGAGTGCCTAGAGGTATTGTGAAGGACGTCCATGTTTTCATCAGTCATGCTTTGTCGATACAGGAGAACATCCTCTTGTCACCGAAAGGACACAGGGACATCAAAGTGGTCGACTTTGGTTCCAGCTGCTATGAGCATCAGAGGAGTGAGTGGCCGCCTTCCTCTCCGCATGGTTTAGTTTGTCACTAAACTCTTCCCTCTTACACTGTCTGCCACTTGTTCCCCCCCCCCCCCCCCCCCACTCAGTGTACACTTACATCCAGAGCCGCTTCTACCGCTCCCCGGAGGTGATCCTGGGCCACGCCTACGGCCTGCCCATCGACATGTGGAGCCTGGGCTGCATCCTGGTGGAGCTCTACACCGGGTCGCCGCTCTTCCCCGGGGAGAGCGAGGTGGAGCAGCTGGCCTGCATCATGGAGGTACCCTCAGGTCAAAGGTGCTCATGGGATGCAGCTGGTGCGGGCGACTGTGTGACAGTGGCTGACCCTGTGTTTCAGGTAATGGGAATCCCGCCCAGCGATTTCCTCCAGACAGCACCCAGAAGGAAGTTATTTTTTGGTAAGTGCTTCAGACTTCAGACTTTGTTACATTATATGGATAAAAGTTTTGGGACACCAGGCCATTACTCCTACAGGAACTTTTATGACACCCCAATCTAAATCCATAGGCATCATTATGGAGCTGCTCCCACCATTGCAGCCATAACAGCTGCCACTCTTCTGGGAAGGCTTTCTCTCTGAGAAGACTATGTCTGTAGCTCATTCATCCAGAAGAGCATTTGTGAGGTCATGCACTAATGTTGGACGTGAAGGCCTGGCTCACAATCTCCATTCTAATTCACCCCAAAGGATTTTGATAGGGTTTGAGGTCAAGTTCTTCCACACCAATTTCACATAACCATGTCTTTAGGGATCTTGCTTTGTGCATTGTGGCAGAGTCATGCTGGAACAGAAAATGGCCTTCCCCAAACTGTTCCCACAAAATTGTGAGAATAGAATTGTACAATATGTCTTGGTATGCAAGTATTGGTGTCCCAATACCTTTATCCATATAGTGTATGTAACTTCCTGGGTGGGAAGTGCGACTGGTTAATATATTCATTTGGTTGACTGGCACAGATTCTAAGGGAAATCCCAGAAACATCACCAACAGCAAAGGGAGGAAACGAAGACCTGGCTCCAAAGATCTGGCTGGCGTCCTGAAGACCAACGATGCTCAGTTACTGGACTTCCTTAGACGATGCCTGATGTAAGTGTAGACAGCATGGAACTCCTTTGTCAGCTACTGCTGTCCGACACTGTCACCTCACTGTGTCGCTGTGCCAAGCAGGTGGGACCCTACCAAGCGCATGACACCGGATGAGGCCATGCGCCACGATTGGATTCAGGAGGCCCGGACCCAGAAGAACCGCAGCAAGACCCACTTTTATAGGAATCCCTTGGAGTCTCTGAGTGGTCCAGACAACAGCAATGAGCATGCACACTGCAAAGCAGCCAACAGCAAGAAAGGTGAAAGGATCCATCCCTCACTAAGCCCCCAAAACAGCTCCCCTAACACACTGCAAAGCAGCCAATAGCAAGAGAGGTGAAAGGATCAATCCCTCACTAAGCCCCCAAAACAGCTTCCATAACACACTGCAAAGCAGCCAAAGCAGCCTTTGCATACAAAAAAGCAGCCAATAACAGGATCAATCCCCCACTAATCCCATCCCACCAATTCTCTCCTGTTTTCCTTCTGTGCCTATTTTTCATTCGCATCAGCTCTGGGATTTTGAATGTAAGTTTGTTCACAGCACAAACTCCTTTTTCATACACAGCTGAGAAGGTCACAGCCAGTGGACTCGAGAAGAACAGGAAAGGGAATTCTGGGAAAGGAGGCAAGACTGTAGCAACAGAACGTCTGAGGCCCGTCGGGGCGTCAGCGGAGGAGAAAACATGCGACCTTGGCCCCGGTGAAAGCGGGGAAACAAGTGACAAGACACTGACAGGGGGAGAGAGGCCCATCCACATTATCATCAAGCCTCAGAAGGAATCGGCCGCGGAGCCCGGAAGCCAGGAGCAATTGCAACACCTGCCTCAGATCTTATAACCATTAGAGACAGAGACAGACTGGGGACAGAGAGGCTGCTGTATTTCTGGTGGACGGTGGGGAGAGGTAACAAAAGGTTTCTGGGGCAGGGGGTAATAATATGTAACCCAATCTGCTGCCATTGGTTCATTTTTGCTTAAGGAGGCGTGTGTAAGTCATACATATGCCTTTCTAACTCCAGCACGTGCACGGTAGCTCTATAGAATAGCGCCCTCTAATGGCAGAGAATGAAAATGACAAAATTCACTTCTGATTGACAATGCTGCAAGCCAATTTAAGGGACTTAAGGGAAAACACAATTCTCAAAATCGACCCATTACAATTTATACCATTTCACCTCAATATCTGGATTAAAAGATACAAACAGTTTTACAGGAATATCGGTGATGCTACATTGATAGTCATCTCCAAGTCTGCAGGTACTAGATAGTAATATGGTCATTATTTGCAGTTCACTTGCCTAATATCGCTAACATCATAATTTATCTGTAGTTAATAAAGTTAGGAATGTATACATTATAATTTCAAATTAGAATTATAACGTCGACTTTGGGAAATATGTTACAATGACATGCCATATTTCGAATAATGATGCGTTTATATAGCCTACCTCCTCTGACTAAAACTGACTAAGAGCGGGGCTGTTTTTTCCTGCCACAGTACCAGTCTTTAATTTGTGCCTTTTGATAGCCCATATTGCCAGAGACATAAGTGATGAGCTTTGTTTTGTTATTAAATGCCATTATCGGGGCATGTGTTCTTAAACAGGTCTGTTTAATACTCACCTGTGCCAAATTAAGCCTAGACATAACGAATTACCCTTGGAACATTTTTTCTCTTTTAATAATCAACTGAGTAGAAAGTCAATCTGTTCATTCTATCAAAAAATGCTTGTTGTTTTCCAATATAGAAGCCGGGCTTGTAGTTTGATGTGAATGTTGTTACAATGGTAACATTTAAGATATGCTCTGTGTATATATGTATATATATATATATAAATTTTTATGCTATAATATTATATAGGTTCAAGGTCCTTAATGTACATTTTTTTACAAAGCAAAACAATTTATATGAATTCAAAAATTTACACCACTGATGACACACCACCATCGTGTCTTTATTTTGTGGTGTTTATTTAGTGTAACGTACACAAACGCTGTTATGCTTATAAAGTACATGTGAAGATTAGGCAAGGTTTTACTTGTTAATACATGATGTTGAATTCAATGAGATGTTTTGATGAGTCTATGTTTTTTAATAGTATGTTTTTTTTTGCTGTAAAATGAATGTTTGTTTTTAAAATACATTTCTGTTTTTAAATACACGTGTTTTTAAAAGGAATTCTTTTGAGTGGCTGGTGCCTTGCAGTATTAGAACCTTTGCACTTTGAGATTATACAATATATTCTGCGACCTTGAAGTTTGTAAACTGAAGGGTGATGGCGTTCCTTTGACCAGCTGGCAACTAGGCTGCTCAGAACATTCTGGAAATAAAACTGATGTGTTATTACTGCTAGTTGGGAAGCACGTTTATCTAAAATGGCTTCTGATTCATACTGTAACACTTCTGCACATTATTGTTTATTTGCTTATTTGTTTGTTGAGTTACAACAGCAGGTGGCGCTATCAGGTTTGAACTGACAGTCTAGTGCCAGTCCATTGTAGTTATGCTGCTTGAGGTCTTGCATGGATAATTTAGATCTTTAAGCCTTTTCTCGATTTCAGACATCTGTCATATTTGCTTGTTTTACCATCGTAATTCCCAAAAAGAATTGGTATCACAGGCAGTAGGAGCACACAGCTCCAAGTGGGGAAATATGAAAATATGAAAGATAAAACCCTGTGAAATTGAAACATTAAAAAATACAGAGCTTTACAATTAATGTGAAATTTTGTAAATATTAGTTTGATAAAATCAAAGATGATCTAAAGCAAATACAGCCTCACCAAAAGAGATCTTGTCTTACATGATGAGAAATGATGACAACATGGCCCTTCTATGCCTTTTCATTTATACTGTACAATAAACTGTTTTGTCCTACCTTTGAGTGAATGTTTCTCAGTCTGAACACCACAGAAAAATCTAAAAAATAAAAGATCTGTCAATCAAAATATTAGCCATTCAAGGTCTGTGTCATTCTCTTCATCTTACTGAATTCTTTAAAGAAATGCTGTACAGCTAAGGACTGCATATCTCTGCAATCAGCTCTGATTTTGTGATTTTATTAATGAAACACATGGAAATATATGTGTACATTCCAGTAAAGGCCTGATTGATAAGGAAAACATCTGATATCACCTCAGAAGGGAAAAAAACACTCCTGGTTAACATTTTCCAGTGTAATTTGTTGAACCCTGCTACATATAAATAGCATTTGTTTCTTAAAGAATGTTACGGATGGCCTTTTGAAGATCCAGAATCTGGAGCAAGGAGACAGAAAAGAAAGATTCCTTTACTTAAGGAAATACTTTTATTATGTTATAAGTTTGGCTCAAGGTCAGTGAGAGAGGTGCACACACAGCAGACCAAAGTTTATGCTGAAAAATAGGACAGAGGGAGATTTCAATAGCGACCATACAAAGGTGGCTTTTGACCACATATCTTACTTGTTCTCCTCCTGTTCTCCTGAAGGAGTGGCAGTGCCCTCTGTACCACTATCTACACCTCCTTGCCCTATTGCCCCCGCACGTTGCCAAGTTACCAAGCTACCAAGTTACGTCCTATCTGTGTCTGAGCTACGTGAACGAGTCCCACGGTAAATAAACAGAGCATTGGGCGACTTTGCACTATTGAATTCACCAAGCTCTTCAGAACGACTTTTGCAAATGTTTGTAAATCTGACTGCATGGCTACGTGTTTGATTTTATACACCTGTGGCAATGGGTCTGAATGAAACACCTGAATTCAATGATTAAGTAAGCGGTGTCTCGATACTTTTGTCCCTATAGTGTACCTTCATGTGGAAATCTCGTCAGCCTGGTCTGGTTCCTCAAATGGCCTGAAGAGCTAGAATTTCACCAGGCAGCAGAAGGTATATAATATTAACAATTTGTGCTCAGGGTACCATAAAAATTTCACCCGAATGACTCCAACAGGCGCACTGGATAAACTTTCTTGTTTAATCGTCGGTTTATTTGCTTACTCACGGCGTACAGTTTAAAACGGCAGCGCCCGTAACTTTGTCCGTCTGATTCACCCTGAACCAGAAGGCGGCCGCTGGGGTGAGGATTATAGCGGACCCCCTGAGACTGGGATACGGCAATGAGGCTCGGGGCGCTCCGAGGGCTAGTCTTCCCACTGGCCGCCGCCTCGGTCGCGCTCTACGTGATCTACGCCCTGCGAGGGCTGCGCTTCCACGCCGAGCAGGACGCGGCTGTGGGTCGGGAGATCCTGCGAAAGCTGGAGACGGTGGAGCGCAGCATCGGCGAGCTGGGTGCGTTCACCATTCATTCATTACACCGCTGATGATTCCTTTCAACTTTTTAATAAATGGCACAGTGCAAAAACGTTGTTTGGTGATTGTTTTGATTTCATATATAAAACCAATTCGGTTATGAAACACTGAAACGTGTTGAGAAGCTTCCTTCTCGTACTGGATGAATTATAATGTTTCCATGGACTACAGCCCTTACACACTTGCGGAAGACGGGCGATTCTAAGATTTGCCACTTGGGGGAGTGAGCCCCCAAGAAATATAAAGAAGAAATTACTATTTGGATTTATTATAATTTTTGCTAAGACGAAAAAATAGGGTGACCAGGATGAAAAGAGTTAGTAGGTTCTTTATTATTTTGCAGTTAAATCAGCAGACATTCAGGGTCTGAAAGTTGTGAACAACTCAAGGGTAAAGAAGCTGTATCCAAATTCCGAGCTCTTCAGCAGCTGGGGAGAGGGGCTTTCTGAGAAGGAGCAGAGGGAGGCTGAGGTGCTGTTTTGGAAGTATGGCTACAACGCCTTCCTCAGCAGCCGGCTGCCTTTGGACAGGGACATCCCTGACACGAGAGACCCCAGGTGAAACCTGCAGTGAGTCTGCCTGACACATAGGGGGCGCTGAGACAACCTGGGCTGTCGGCTTCGTCAGCTCTTCGTTGTTTAGAGACGTTCATGCGAAAGTACCGTAGCTCAAAGGTAACTTGGAGGTCTCGACATGGGACACATTATCTATGTGCATTCATGAGGGCTTGCATTCTGCTTATGGAAGCATATGCATAGACTGTGAATGTCCCCTGAAGGTCTCCAAGAGGATCATTTATGAAGTATTATAATTTAATTACCGTTGGTTCCATCTGTCCAGCAGAACTGTTAACTAGTTGTTAACTGGCTGTTGGGTGGTGCCATTTTCAAACTTGAAATGATTGATTTCTGTGGCACAAACCAAAATGTTCTCCAGGTTGACTTTTGATTCTTAATTCCGAATGCACAGATGTGTGAATAGAGTGTACCCAGAGAATCTTCCCACTATCAGCGTTGTGCTGATTTACCTGGATGAGGCCGCTTCTGTCATCCAAAGAGCCGTCCAAAGCATCATTGCTAGAACACCAGCTCACCTGCTGAAGGAGATCATACTGGTAGATGACCACAGCTCTAATGGTTTGTCGCTATGCCATGGAATATGTAGTTTATAGTATGGAATATGATGCTTCGAGACATCAAAAAGATGTCATGTGATTAAGCACCCCAAAAAAATTGTTGCATAAAGTTCCCAGACTGACCTTAAACCCACCTGAAAAGTCTTGGCAGAAATGTCCAGTTGCTTGTGTGCCTACAGCAAAAAAATAAACTTCTTGAATTTTTGAATAACAATTCATGATCAGAATAGATTATGGAATCATGTAATGTGTATTCATGGTGCTGGACTTGCTGTCATTGTACTGTCCTTCGCTGTTTCACCAACAGATGACTTGAAAGAGAGTTTGGACAGCCACATCCGCTCTGTCCACGAGGAGAGACCCGGCCTTGTGAAGGTGGTGAGACACACAGAGCAGCTGGGACTCACCCAGGCCCGCATCTCTGGGTGGGAGGTGGCCACAGGTGATGTGGTGGCCATCTTTGATGCCCACATTGAAGTCCATGTGAAATGGTGAGTTTGTCACCCCCCTGCCCCAAGACGCTCATTATGAGAAATGTCTGCTTTTAAGGTGAATGTTTTACTGTGTTTTCCTCATTCTGATGTATTTTTCCAGAACTTTAAACTTGCCTTTTTATGTACGATGAGTTAAAGTTGGTCTAGCAGTGCCACCTTTTAAAAATCAGATTATGGTAGATTCAGTTTTATTGTTATTGTGCTGGTACGACTCTAATGATACTGCAGTTAGTGCAGTAAAAATTACCACGAAGGGATTCAAATCCTCAACCTTCTGATCTGAAGTCAGACACCTGATCACCCAGCCACAGATACCAAGTCATGCTTTCAGAGAGAGAGTATAAATTGAGGAATGTAGTATGTACAATCAAAGGCAGTAAACGGTTATATCTGGTGGCTGCTGAATCAATCCCACAGACCAGTGTTTCCCAACCCAGCAACATTATTGCTCCTTACCAGGAGCTGGGAGGGAGTGAAAATGTGGACTGACTGCGGGTCTCTGAAGACCGGACTGGGAAACACTGCCACAGACCGTTTCTCTGTTCCTAAAGGGCAGAGCCTCTGCTGGCCCGGATCAAGGCCGACCGGACCGTGGTGGTCAGCCCCGTGTTCGACAAGGTGAATTTCGATGACCTGCAAGTCACACCATACGAGGCTTCTGCCCACGCCTTCGACTGGGCCCTGTGGTGCATGTATGAGTCCTTCAGACCTGATTGGTACAAGATGAGTGATGGTTCTCAACCTGGGAAGTAAGCAGTCGCACCCTGATCTCACGAGTCACCAAATGAACCATGTACAGATGTGGACGAACTTGTTGGTACCCATCCATGAAAGAAGAATAACCACAATCGTCCCTGAAATAGCTTGAAACTGACAAAAGTAACAGTGCACCATCATTGTTTATCCAATATTTAATAAAAATCAGACCTTGCTTTAGAGTTTTCATTCAACCGATGGACCTTGACCTTGGAGTTCAGCTTGCATCTCTCTGGAAGATGTCCTTGGCTTTTTATCTACTGTTCTCACTGTCCTTCTGCCCAATCTGGGGTCGATTATCTCCTTGTGGCCACATCCAGGGAGGTCGGCTGCAGTCCCACACACCTTAAATATCCTCATATTAGTAGCTGTGGTCACAGGAACATGAAGCTACTTGGAGATGTTCTCATAGCCTTTGTCATTATCATGCTTCACTATAGTTTTCTAGATAGATGCTTTATTAATCCCAGAGGAAATTTAGATAGAGACAATAATAAACATGGTATTAGAATAAAATACAAGAATTGCAGATGTAGGGGGTGACAGGAGCTGTACAGGTCAAGATGACCATATGGGGACAAGAGTAGCTGCTAAAGTACATTATATACATGATAGAATGAGTAACTAATGAAAATATATAATTGAAAAAATAGTACATATATGAAATATACAAATCGTATATGATAACATAAAATAATACAATTTTACCCATATATATAATATACATAATATAAATAAATATTTGCAGTTTGCTAACCCTAACACTACTTTAGGGCTTTAGGGTGAAACAACAGGCTGTGGGAAAGTAGGAAACATGCTACTAAAGCATGCTGAACTGTGGTCTCCTACCTTATGGGGGAGCTGAACTGTCATAAAAACACATGTTGATGTCTGAAAATGCCATACTTTTTCTAACCCTAACCCGAATTTGGAGCCTTAGGGTGAGGATATGCATAAAGTATGAAATAATGAGATATATGTTTACAAATATGTACTCATACACATACACAAATGCACATATTCTGTAAAGTATGAAAACTGTATATATTATAAATGCAGAGGGAACTCAGAAGTAGTTTTTTGCCTAGAAGTCCATCTTGCTCTTCCATCTCCGTAACGCATCTTCTCAGATCATCTCTCCAATACTTTCTCCGGTCCATGTGCAGTGTGGCACCAAAGCAGCAGTTAAATATTAAACAGCAGGGTGGCTGAATGACTGAAGGCTGAAGTCATGTTGATACTAACTGAAGATAATAGTTTGAAAAATCACTATAATCCAATTATTTATAATCTTCTCTAAGGGTACCAACAAACCTGGCCAGACCATCTGTGAATCTTTATAGAAATGTGAAATAATTGATCTCTCTTCACACTTGCTTTGCTTTACTTGCTGATGTATCAAAAGCACACAGGTATACATGAGACAATTTGCTTTTAATTTAATTTCGTTTCAGGAGGCATGAAGCACTTTTCCAATGAGCTGTGACGGTACCAGTGAATCTGTCCATGTCTGTAATTGGCTTTGTTGAAGGCTTTTAAGCATGACCGGAGTAAAAATATGAGAATCTACCCAGAGTTCTTACGGCTGTTGCTGTGAGGTGATCACATTGCTGTCTCATCTTTTGTTGTGTCTTTTCCTTGCTTCTTGTATCTGTTTACTAGGAGTCCCTCCATCATGGGTATTCTGGTTGCTGACCGGTTATTCTTAGGAGAAATTGGTTTACTAGACGGTGGGATGGAGGTCTATGGTGGTGAGAATGTGGAGCTGGGGATACGTGTGAGTAGCTGCACGTCTTCAGAGATGGAATAAAGTCACCGGCAGACTTCAGTAATCAATAGTCAAGATATTTTTGTTGTGGCTAATATGCTATTGACTTCTATGGGCTCTTGGGGGAAAAACAAAGGCAGTGGAAAATCAGACTTACCTGACTTGCATTTATTTCAGTCACACGATTTCCTCATGTGCAATTACAGGTGTGGCTGTGTGGGGGCAGCATAGAGGTGGTCCCATGCTCCAAGATCGCCCACATCGAGAGAGCCCACAAACCCTACATGCTTGACCTCAGCATCACCATGAAGAGGAATGCGTTGAGGGTAGCCGAGGTCTGGATGGACGATTACAAGAGGAACGTCAATATTGCCTGGAATCTTCCCATCAAGGTCTGTGCAGGGAGGGCTGTGTTTTGGGTGACACCCCTGTTTGGTGCATTTTTTATTTCCCCATTTCAATGGGGCTCCCCCCTCAGGATCACGGGATCGACATCGGTGACGTTTCCGAGAGGAGGGAGCTGCGGGAGAGGTTGAAGTGCAAACCCTTCCAGTGGTACCTGGAGAACGTCTATCCCGAGCTGGATCCCTTAGATGACCTGCTGGGCTATGGTGTGGTGAGCACACCTTCATGTACAGCTTCACGTCGTATACTGTGCATCTGCTGAAATGACTATTTGCCACTTTATTCACATAGAGTGTAGTAATACTAAGTGTAATGTATTCACTATGCCATTGAATTAACATAAACATCAGTTTATTCCTTATTTATTGTACAATCCTGCTCCATTTACTGGCTGTGGCTAATAACTATACATTTCTCTGTACTTGTTTCACAGGGTCAATAAAATTATGTGAAATTTTGAATACATTTACCAAAAGTTGAATATTCATCATAAACCTAGAGCTTATGTCTGCGGTTCTCAATCCATTCCATTGGCCCCTTGAGCCAGCTCACATTTTCTTTCTGATCCACCTGATTTTTCCCTGTCAGCTAAATTATAAAGCCCTTGATCCCTTGGTGGTAGATTTTAACAAAGAAACATGGACTGGCAGGGGGGTGCGGAATGCCTTATGAAGATGTCACCAGTCTGAATGGAAACTTGTTTTTTTTTTTTTTTTTTGCCAAACAGCTGGTTAATGACCTAAAAACAGACATGTGTGTTGATCAAGGGGTGATTCCAGGGAGTGTTCCTGTTCTATATGGATGTCATTTCTACTCAGCCCAGGTTAGTGTTACGTGGCCAAGTTCACGGTGACAACGTGCACCGAAAAGCATTTACTCTACCCCACAAAGAATTATTTAACAATTCACAAACCTACTTTTGCATTTATAGTATTGTTACTACAGGAAAACTGGAGAGATCTACATTGGAGGCATTAAATCTCACAAGTACAGCAGTAATCGTTGTCTGGTGGACCCCGGCGTGGGCAGCACGCCAGCCCTACACGAATGTAACCTGCCGAAAGAGAAGCGCTTCCACATGCTGTGGAACTTCAAGCAGGTCTGTTATCAAAACACAACCATCAAATATTTCTGAGCTACTGCATTCAAACCAATCATACATACAAATTGTCTTATAGCAATTTAATTATTGCAGCATAATTATGTTATGAAGAGCAGCTAGGATTGTGAGTGTGTGCCCTGCAATGAATTAACATCCCCCTTTGCCATAACCCTATACTGGATGAAGTAGATGGATGGATGGATGGATGGATGGATGGATGGATGGATTGATTGATTGAATGAATACTTATCTAAGTCAGCATTAGGTCTCTTCTTAGCTTTTCCCATTTGGCAATCATTTGATTTCAATTGATTGATCTGAAAAGGACGGTGGCTCTGAGCTTGTATGGTTGGTTTCACAGGGATGGGCTATAAAGAACAGAGACACAAGAAGGTGCCTGGAGATAGCTATGGGAGATGACATGTACTACAACCTAGTCATTCAGAAGTGCACCGGACAGCGCTGGACGATTCAATATGTAATAGAAGACTTCTGACACAGACTGGGGATAGACAAGCAATGAAAAATGCGGCGATGATCTATAAAATAAAACGGCTGATATAGCTTATTGATGTAACAGCCGTGTCGGTTCATGTACAATTATCCCTGCCTAAAGTTTTCTCCAAGAGAAATTTTAACATGAGTTGTTTATATTGAGTTGTTTGAGGACATTTTGCATAAAAGCCAGCTTCTTTATTTGTATCTGTTTTATGTCAATTTACGCGGCGGGGACCATTTTTGTACGGCGCGGTCTGTATGGTTTTATACTTTTTATATGATTTTTAAAGTGATTTAAATCTAATTAGGGGAACTCTGTAATGTATAGCTTCATCTAATTCAATTCAACGTAGATATGGTTAAACAACTTCTTAATTTAATGCAATGTGATTATGTAATAAAAAGTATTAATTAAAACCACATTATGTTCAGGTTTATCAGTATATATACTGCATGGGCTGTTCAGACAGGTAGTACAATCAAAGTCAATGTACAGGAACTTCATTACATTTCACTGTAAACAGCATTCGTAATTCGAACTTTAATCTTATTTTTGTCAGACGTTTTAAGCAACCTGTTCGTTTCCATTTCGTTTATAATAAAAGTACAGTTTCTTGGCCGATTGGGCTTCGGCTCGTTCAAAAGAGCGCCCGAACTGCATGCTGGGAAAGCTCGTTACCGAGTCCCTGTATCCTAGCAACCGTAATGTTTCCCGCGGCGGTGCGGTGGAGCGACTGCGAGCCGGCGGCTGTCACCAGGGTTCGGGTGGGCACGATGCGTGGGAGCGAGCTTCAGTCGGACCAGGTGGAGGCCGTCAGCCTCGCCCGGAAAAGGGATCGGGAGACCCAGAGGCAGGGCAGGATCTTCAACGCAAAACTCAGAACAATTGGGGTGAGTAACAGCGGGACCTACTATGGTACTGTGCCAGCCTGCTTTGCATTAAGTTGCTGCATCATTAAGCATGTTGTCCTATAAAGCAAATAGATGACGGGTATTTATTTCTTTATTTGTTTGTTTGTCTGTTTGTTTTTATTTGCTCAGATTGATAAAGACGCTTTAGATTACCAGGTGAGAGAACGCAAAGAACAGGAGAGGAAAGAAGCGGACACACAGAGATCATATGGTGAGCTCATACACGCAGTGGAAAGGTGCTATTTTATTTATTTCATCTGTTTAATGCTAAATGTAATTGCCTGTATGCCCAAAGGCAAAATAACCGGTTTGTGTCAGTGCGTGTATCATATTGCATATACAGATATAATCACCCTGTGCAAACATATTATTGGATTATGTTCATACTTTGTACAAACCTCTAAAGGCGTTAAATGAATTTATACATTACTGCCCGATTAGGATTTATAAATTACTAGTGGGATCTAGACTTTTTTTTTATTCTTAACCACTACGTTTCTCCTCCCAGCTGCTGATCTGCTTCACAGTGACCGAATCAGCTGCCTGCTGGAGCAGAGACAGCGGAAAGAGCAGCGACGTCTAGAGGGCGCTATTTTGCAGTTCCGGCGTGACTTCCAGCAGCCCGAGAACCGGCGCGAGTTCGACCTGAACGACCCGGCCCTGCTGAGGAAGCAGCGGGGGGGTCTGGTGCTGCCCGGGCTGGTTGGGGAGGATCCGGGCAGCGCCGAGCGTCACCGCAGGCAGCAGGAGCAGATGCGGGATTGGTCGCTGCAGCAACGGCGCGAGCTGGAATCGGCGAGGCTCCAGCAGCGGCTGGAAGGTACTGCACCCAGGGGAAATCCCAGCATTGCCCGCTCTACCCCAGAGCAGCTGGATTTTTCCAGCCGAGCTGTCCCTTAATTATGCCCGATTAAAATTCTTAATGGAAAAACACGCATCACAGTGAGATTAGCTCGTTGCAGTATTTTCCCAGTTCCGTTAAACATAAGAATCGTTTCTCTTTTGCCTCTTGAATTAATAAAACGATAAACAAATTGCAGCATATGCAATTTTAATCTTGGACTACTGTAAATGAAGTCCAAATGACCAATTTGTTTCACAAAATATCCATCAGGAAAAATAGGACTTGGGCATTTGTCACGCCTCTGTTTTTATAGTTTTATATTTGTAACATAAATATTTAAATTTTGCGACTTCCAGTATGATTGATTTGCTCAACACTTTAATGAAACAGAATTAATTGCTAGGTTAATTTTGAAACAGCAAGCTTGGTTGGATACCTCCTGCAGCCTGTGGTGGTGTTATGATCTTTTCTCGAACCCCCCCAACCAGCATTTTGTTGCACACTGTGGCGTCTCCACACAATCTTACCTCCGCTACCTCACCACAGACCAGCGGTATGAGGACAGCAGGATCACAATGGACCACCGGGCCGTCCAGCTCCAGAATATCGAAGCGGATCACAGGAGATCGGTTGCCATGGCCACCAAAGACTTCAACTTAGCCATGGTGGGTCCTAAGGCGTCATCTCATCCCTCTGCCCACCCACAAGAGGGCGTCGCCTCGCACAAGTGCATCCCACGTGACCTTCCCTGTATTTCCAGGCGGCGGAATCCTCCGAGAGGCGACATCAGGCGCGACTGCAGGAGGAGGCGGCTAACGGAGAGGAGATCCTGAACCAGCTGCAGGGACCGCTGCTGAGCGAGAGCCTGGGGTATGGCGACCGCCTGCGTCGTACGCAGCCCAGCAGCTACAAGGGCATGAACCAGGATCAGCTGAGGCAGATCAGGGAGTGCCAGAGGCAGCAGGTGGAGGACAGACAGGTACGGTCCTGGGGCTTTACCGCTACGGCCCTGGGGCTTTATCGCTATTATGCCGTTTTTTTCATTACCTTTAGCTCTCATAATAAATACTTCATGTTTAAGTGTTTCACTCAAGCAGTGATGTGGTTGGAGCGGGAAGGGGTAGGATTCCGCCCGGACGTGATGTCGCTGTGTTCCCGACAGAGAGCCCATCTGGAGCAGCAGCGGCGGCAGCTGGAGTGGGATGGGCGGAGCCAGGCCGCGGAGCACCACGGCCTCCTGCTGGAGAGACAGCAGGCACGGCTCAGCAGGCAGCTGCGCCGTGCCCTGGACAGCGCCAACGCCCAGCTGGCCAGCGAGCAGCGAACGCAGTACGGCCCCAGCCCCGCGTTAGGGAGCATTGTTATACGTACAAGGCAGCACGTACATGGCAAACAATCATTTCAAACCAAACTTACAAGCGGAGGTTTCAGTGCAAACCAGCACCCCTGTGGTTTTACAGAAAAGGATCTTGTGCCAGTACCCTGCAGAAGATGATGCACAACGATGAGGCTGCGATGTTGGGTGGGATTACTGTGGGCTGTCAGTGACTGACAGGTTTATCTAATTCCCCATTATTTAGCAGTGGTTTGGGGGCCCAGTTTTTTCCCGAAGAATACGTTAGCCTTGATTGGATTTTAAAAATCAATTAATTAATTACTAAAGTGTAATTGGGGTAATCCATCCATTTCCTTTAACCATTTATCTAAAGCAGGGGATCAGCCAGCTTGGAGCTTATCCCACGGCACAGAACAGGGTACATCCTGGACATGGGGGGGCACAGAACAGGGTACATCCTGGACAGGGCGCCGGTCCATCGCCATGCACACGCTCAGCCTTGGGACTGTAAGAGGAAAATCCGTAGAAATACACAGAGAACATGCAAACTTCACATATACAAACAAAACAAGGGCGGGATTCAAACCCATACACCTAAGTCACCCACTGAGCGACCATGTCTAATTAGGATACTGACAATAGGCTCTAGGTCTCTCACGACCCTGATTAGGGTTAGTTATCGGTCAATCGGTCGGATGGACAAACGCATTGATGTATTTATTTATGATTGAATGAGTGAGTAGTGTTTATGAGTAAGCATCTGACCTATATACCTGTAACTGTGTTGCTCTCCTTACAGGAAGGACTACCTGGAGAAGGAGGTGTTCACTAACAGTCCTGACAGCCGCTACTTCGCGCAGTTTAACACCACCAGTCGATAAGATCGGTGCTGTCGGTCCAGCCTGGTCCCCTCGCTTTTGTCTGCCCCACTGCTGCAGCAAGAGCAATAAAGAATGAACTATTCACTAAGAATATTTTACATGATGGAAGGTTTTGTTGCTGTAGCAGAAAATGGACATTAGAGTTTAATGCAAATGCTGAGGAACATTGAATTATGTAAATGTGTAGGTTTATCCAGGTATAAAAGGCAAGGGAGGCTGTTTAATGTGCACTCGTGCTTATATTTTTAAGTTTTCAAGTAAAACACTGGGTCACTGGGAGAATCTGCCATTTTGGTGGGAGTGCGGGCAACGCAGACTGGGAGTTCTGGGGCCAGGGACAGGATTGGTGGGGGGGGGGGGCTCTGCTTTGGAACAGTCCTTCTGGGAAAGCTTGATAAAATTCCTGCCTGAAGCAACTAAGCAGCATCTGCTAGGGTAGAAGGAGAAGCCAATTTTCCTTCGGAATCAGACGAAGGAAACCTGATTATCTCAAGGTCACGTTCTTGTAGAAAGCAAGGAAGTACGGAGCTAGAAATGGCATCTAACTTAAAAAAAAACAAAACTTTAGAGTCTGTACAGTTAGTAAGTAACGCAGATTCATGCTTTTTCCTGGCATAGCAACTATGAGCTGGAGTGAGCCCACTCTACTGGGAATTCTGGGATATGAATTCATCCCACTTTGTACTCCAGATCTTCAGCGCTTTCTCCTTCAGCTGAGGAGACAGGGAGCTGTACCTAGGAAGGAAGGAGGGTCAGATGGCTGTGTCCTGCCCCCCCCCCACCCCACCCCACACAAAGACAGGCGCGCAATGAGACATACCAGAGGGAATTGTAGGCCAGGTCTTTGAGGGTGCCCAGGTGGGAGCTCATCCCGCCGATGCCCATGAAAGCCTCGTAAAAATCGTACGAGAGCCCAGCCGCCCCGAAGAGGGCCGGGTCGTCAGAGCTGATCACCAGAGGATGTCCCTCAGACATCAGCGTGCTGGCAGGGTGGTTCCGCAGATCTGAGACCAGCTTCAGGACCTGGATTTAGGCATATACACGCGGGGCTTTCATCTAGGAGCTGGGCACCATAAGCACACAGCAAGCGACAGCAGTGGTTTTGCTAGGCGTACCTGGTTGGAAATGGGACACACCTCCACAGCCACCCCCATCTTCCTGGAGAGCTCCTTGGCCAATGGGTGGTGAGCCATAGCAAAGCCGTGGCCAATGCGAGAGGTGTTAAACAGCAGGGCGTCAAGCACATTCCCGTCCACCTCTGTGCCCTCCTGGTCTGCATTCACACAAGCAATTGCAAACAATACAAGGACTGATGACACAACCCAAAAATACATGCATAGTGTTTATGATTTCTGGTATTCGTGCTGTAATTTGTTAAACTCATTACATCCAAAGATGTCAACAAATCAGACTGGTATTACTTTAATCAGACTAATAAAACATGGAGCCCAGTTCTGAAGGTGGAGCAAGTTGACAGCTCACTGGTCTCTCCTGCGTGGAAGAAGTAGGGCAGGGTGACTCCGAGGTCTGCTGGCAGAGACAGGGCCTCCCTGAAGTACCACAGGGGCCTGCCGCTGTCCTCACGGCCCACCTCAGAAACCGAGATAAATGTTAGGCAGCAGTTGGTTCTATGGCCCTTTAAATAGTCTTCCTGCTAGTGTAGTGGAAGCTAAAACCCTGGGTTCCTTTAAATCAGAGCTAGATAAGATTTTATCAACTCTGAGCTATTAGTTAAGTTCTCCCCAAACGAGCTTGATGGGCCGAATGGCCTCCTCTCGTTTGTAAATTTCTTATGTTCTTATGTTCTTAAAATATCATCGCTGTCCAATGAAAAGAACATTTTCTGAGAAACTACAAAATTAACTAAAACTAATGAGAAAGCCTTATAGCAGCAGAAAAAGAAGCCTGTCTTTACACAGTCGTCAGTGAATGGTTTAATGTTTTAAAAGGATTTATATGAGCTGTTGTCAGTGAGGCAAATATAACAGTGTTAACAAGATACAAACTAATCTCCCTTTATATTCATAATCAACAATAATGTTAGCTATGTAGCTATAAACGTTAAGTTGTTAAAATTAGCAATATAAAGCAATCGATACAAATGACCATCATGAATACGAATGTTAACTAGTATACACATAAATTCTAGTTAAATAGACGACTTTATAAAACATCTTTTCATTGGTCAATTAGATGTTAAACACTATCAGTATGCAGAGGAGAAATGGGTGAATTCCATCTATAGAATAAGTCACAATTGTCACACACTGGACATATGTGCTTGTCGTCGTACAGTGACGATATGAGAAAAGCAGCCACCAGAGGTTACAAGAATGTGGTGATGATGACTGATGATGGAGACGGATCTGAGACGAGGAAGTGCTACAGTATCTGTTAGGTTAGCCATAATGACGACGGAGTAGGACGTGAATCGCGGTGTCCTCATCGCTTGATCCACGTTATATGATAACTAGACTAAATTTGATCATAAGACTGGTAGGAGACCAACATTTTGCAGAGGAAATGTTGACAAAATATACTAACGGTGTAGATTTGGGTATAGACAGTAGGAACACGTCCCTACCAATAATGTGGGAGTCTAGGGGGCGGGGGGGTCGGGCCGATTTGGTCCCTACCAATGCTGAAACCAAACCTACGCCCTTGAAACAAAACAGTGAAAGAGGATGTAGACAGTAGAGTTGCCATTATACTGCAGTCTCTCACAAGGTCAAATCCCGCCATGACCTCTGGAAATGCTTTCTGTAGGTCTATGGCCTCCTTCATCCTCTCTTTCATTGTAGAGATTGTCTGACTCCTGGGAGACACACAAGGGGGAAAATTATGCATTCATACTCACATAATCAAGATAACAAGAGACCAAGGTCAGAACATGAAGATAAACACATTGGACAAAACTCAAATAATTACTCAAATAATGAACCAATATAAAGGCCAAGGACAGAGACTTGGGTGCATCTGTGTGCTCAAAAGTTGTTTGTTCATGTCAAATCCCAACGTAGCATGAGAAGCTTCACCCGCAGGCTCACCTGTGGACGGTGAAGATGATGCGAGCGCCCAGGAAACCTGGATGCCGGAAAACAAACTGTCTGGTGACGTCCTGATAGGCCTGGAGGCACCAGGCTCGGTCATGTGTGCTGCCATCGAGCTCATAAGCCTGTGCAAACCCACATGAGTCACAAATGGAATGAAAACAAGCCATCGGCCAAAGCAGATGCCAGAAAGACAGCAGGTGTAAGGAGCCGCTCTTGCTACAAGGGTCCGAGGACCACATACCCCCGAGAGCCCAGACCTCAGCTCAAGATACATGATGTTGTCTGCATGCAGCTGCTGCAGACCCTGGTAGAAATAGTCCTTGAACACGGGGGCATAGCCAACCAATCCAGAAGCGGCAGCGAAAGCCTGTTCAAACCTCTGCCAGACGACATCCTGGCTGGAGTATGCAGCCTCTGGGTCTGCAGTGAACAGGGTGAGTTTCCTCATCAAACTGGGCAAACGACCCGCAACAGAGGGAGGGAGGGAGAGAGAAACCAAAGTCAACACCAATAAGCTTTAATTAAGAATGGATTTACTGATAAGGCAGGGTGGGACACTTTAAAACCCACAGCAGTCATGCAGCTGACTGCGTTGAGAAGGCAGGACTGAGGTCTCCGCACCACACACCTGTCGTCAAGGTCGCTGGTGTTACCCAGCTTCCTCCTCAACGTCTCCAGCAGCACCCAGGGGAAGCACTGCAGGTGGCAGCGGGGCTGCCGGCTGGAGAAGCGGAAGCGTACGGAGCCGTCCTCGGTGACGCACATGTAGCAGTGCGGCCTGTAGGTGACATTCTTCACCAGCCATTCTACGTCAACCAGAGACAAGCTATGGATGTGCAGAGCTGCTCCTGAAATACAGGTGTTGGCCAACAGCAATCTTCCTCATCCCTTCCAATTACATTATTTTATATGTTCATACAAATGGGGATACTTAGTAGGTTTTATGGGTAACAAGACAGGAGTGCATTGCCACCTTAACTGTGGGCATTTGGATGCCGCCATCTTAACTGTGGGCAAGTCGGGACCGCTCCTCTACCTTTGGGCATCTTTCTCAGCAGGTTGAAAACCGGACTGCGCTGTATCAGTGGCCGCGCTTTGAAGAAGTGCATAGCAGGAGGGAACTGCGGCCCGGCCATTTCCTGCTCTTTCAGTTTTTGAAGCTGAGTGTTGAGTTGCCTCTCCTTCTCCGTCAGCAGCACTCTGCCCCCTATCTGCCTGGAGGCCTCCTGCTGCTTTAGGATATCCCTCTTATGGCGGTCAGGAATCCCATGACACAGATCAGCCCAGCACAACAGCAGCACTGGTAAAAGAGCTATCAGCAAGGACCCTGGCAATTGTGATACTAGCATTGTGCTTAATGGGGAATGGCACTGTGGAAACTGTAATTGGGGGGGGGGGGGGGGTACAGAAAAGCACATATATTGGAAATACGTCTTCTTATCCTTATAATCAAAGCACCGTGTTTGTAATTATGCGTCTTTGTTTTAAAACTACATAGTTATGACAGTGACTAATAGGCCTATGTACTGAATTAAGGGTCTAAAAATATATATGAACAACGGAAACGAGTTACACTTCCCATTCAAAACAAATACATGCATCCAACCTGATGAACTACTTTCTGCGTTATTGGTTCTTTTATCACATTAACCATGTGGGACAAATTATTAAAACCTTTACGGTAACAATTTTCACAACCGTATTAACTAAATGTACACAAACACATCCAACCAATCAAACGCTTATTCTGAGCAGGATCGCAAGTGCATGCGTTTTATATACTTATACTACGGGATCGTTGAATGCTTGAATCTGATTGGCTGACGAACGTTCTGAGGTGTAATTATTTTCAGGGAAACGCACGGCGAACGTAGTTCCAGGCAGCTTTCTTGACCGCATTACAGTTCCATATCACTTCGCATAGTTAACTGTAATAACGGAAATTACCATACAGTACCTATACAGCACACAGGACTAACAAAAACAACAACATGACAGACGATTTTCCGAAAGTAAATTTTAATATTTACGGTGAATATGAAACTTTCAACAACTGGGCTGCAGCAGTATTAGACAGTCCAGATGAAAAACAACATAAACTGAAGCGTTTCGCGTCGTGGCCGCATCACCACCTCGGGTGTGCATTATTTTTCTAATAATTCAACGGCCCGTCGTCAATTATTCCTTACATATATAATGCCATAGTTAGTTTCTTATCGGTACCGTATCAAAGTTTAATGACGTCAGAAAAAAGGTGTATGCGCAACAAATTGCCCTGTATTGCTGTCTTTTGTAAAACGTATCCATATTTTTCAGACACCCTTTGATGTTACATACACACACACATTCACAAATACACACCCTTTCTGAAGTAGCTAATTCAGTTGTTGCACTTTTAAAGATAAAAACATCGCCTGAATTGATTTGATTTTTCATGTGTATATGAAAAAAAGTTTATATTTATAAATCAATGACCGACATTTAACTGACATTAAAATCCACAGATACCTTGAAATGTCTCTCCCAAATCACCTGAACCCTTTTAAAATAATTTCCGACTTGTTTCGAGGATTTTAGAGATACCAACCAGGCTACCGTAAGCGCTGCTGCAGTCACACGCAGGAAAGCACAGGACACCCAAGCCGTCTGTTAAATTGCTCTTTCAGTATTATAACTGCGCTCTTAAATTAAGGGAATTTGTAAAGTCCAACATGTGATCAACAACCAGAGTTTCACGAACAAACAAGGAACTATGGTTCGGCATCATGTGATACAATTATTAAGGCTATGTCCGGGGCTGTATGAAGCAGTCTATCCTCAACCCGCCGGTGCGCAGGACGAGCCAAAAGCAATACAAATACACTTTATTTAGGGGGTTCTGTGAAACAGAACAATGAGTCTATGGTAGTTTAATCTGCTTTCGTTGCTGTCCAGCCCTCAGGGAAAAGCTCATTGGTGATACACACACAGCACTAAGCACAAAAAGAACTATATAGACGTCGTTACCTTTCGTCTCAAAAGTGAATCTACGTTTTATGTGCTTATATATATTTTCCTTTTAGCTGGCTCTAACACTCTTCTGTACAAATCAGCTGCATGCCATCAGTTACCTCTCGGCACTGAGGTGTTTAAATACCTGGATGATTGCGGTTTCTGAGACGCTCGAATGGACATTCACGTCAAAATCGCGTTTATTGTAAAGCTCAGTCAGTAATCAAACCTCCTGACCCTGCCTGTGATCCCCCCCCTTAGGACTGGATCCGGGGACTCACCTCCTTACCCATGAATGAGCATCAATATATTAAACTGAAAATGATCAAAATACAAGTTTAAAGTCACATGAATTTAATTTCTGATGTCATTATTATACACAACCAGCAATGCATACTAATCATGATGAATCACTTTTCATCCAAAGTATACAAACTAATGTTAAAAACACTTAACTACACACACCCAGACAACGGCTAATATGTAACTTTTGAAGTTATAGTTAATATCCATAATTCAACGTAGAAAAGGACACTGTTTTTCTATGAGATCACAATGGCAGTTTAATTGGACACATTGGCTGCCTATTGGATATTGAGAAATTAAGAACTTTGTGGAATCAGCACAGTGAACACACACTATCACATTTCATTTCAGAAAAGTGCTCATTTACCAGACTTCAGTGGGTCAAACAAATTCAGAAAGTATCAAAAACACTGTGACTCGAATACAATTGATGCACCAAAATCATAAATCCATGATAACCACTTAAATCTGTACCTCAACTTTTCATCATTAAAAAATTCTACCAAAAATGCTGTGCTGCGTTTGTGGACATTGTGTGTTTCCTTCACCAAACATTGAAATGTAGAACATGTCGAAAAAGTAAAATCTAGTCCCAGGTATCTGGCTGGATTTCGCTGTTTCTTCACACCTGCAGGGTAGGGGGTCAAATCCCATTTCTGCTCTGTGCGTGTAGGGCTTGCACCTTCTCCCCATGATCCCCTGGGTGTCCCAGTTTTCTCCCGCAGTACGAAGACATGCCATCTGGCTAACTGACATCTCTAAGCCACCCCACTGGTTGCAGCCCAGTCTTGCACCCTGTGCTGCCTGAGACAGACTAAGGGTCCCTCAAGACTCTGTCCAGGATAAGTGGTTAGAAGATCAATTGATAGAATCTATTCTTATGACACAACTGTGTCTGACATGGATCCCTGTCTTTGAGAGACAGATTCACCATTAACTATCACTGTTTGTGGTGTAACTATGGAGTTCTATGAGCCATTATGGAGTAACAGAGATCCATACCGTTTCCAGGCATAGCAACTATGAGCTGGAGTGATCCTGCCCTACTTGGAATTCTGGGAGATGAACTCATCCCACTTTGTACTCCATATCTTCAGCGCTTTCTCCTTCAGCTGAGGAGACAGGGAGCTGTACCTAGGAAGGAAGGAGGGTCAGATGGCTGTGTCCTGCCCCCCCCCACACACAAAGACAGGCTCGCAATGAGACATACCAGAGGGAATTGTAGGCCAGGTCTTTGAGGGTGCCCAGGTGGGAGCTCATCCCGCCGATGCCCATGAAAGCCTCGTAAAAATCGTATGAGAGCCCAGCCGCCCCGAAGAGGGCCGGGTCGTCAGAGCTGATCACCAGAGGATGTCCCTCAGACATCAGCGTGCTGGCAGGGTGGTTCCGCAGATCTGAGACCAGCTTCAGGACCTGGATTTAGGCATGTACACGCGGGGCTTTCATCTAGGAGCTGGGCACCATAAGCACACAGCAAGCGACAGCAGTGGTTTTGCTAAGCGTACCTGGTTGGAAATGGGACACACCTCCACAGCCACCCCCATCTTCCTGGAGAGCTCCTTGGCCAATGGGTGGTGAGCCATAGCAAAGCCGTGGCCAATGCGAGAGGTGTTAAACAGCAGGGCGTCGAGCACATTCCCGTCCACCTCTGTGCCCTCCTGGTCTGCATTCACACAAGCAATTGCAAACAATACAAGGACTGATGACACAACCAAAAATACATGCATAGTGTTTATGATTTCTGGTATTCGTGCTGTAATTTGTTAAACTCATTACATCCAAAGATGTCAACAAATCAGACTTGTATTACTTTAATCAGACTAATAAAACATGGAGCCCAGTTCTGAAGGTGGAGCAAGTTGACAGCTCGCGGTCAGCTCACTGGTCTCTCCTGCGTGGAAGTAGTAGGGCAGGGTGACTCCGAGGTCTGCTGGCAGAGACAGGGCCTCCCTGAAGTACCACAGGGGCCTGCCGCTGTCCTCACGGCCCACCTCAGAAACACAGAGGAACAATGAGTTCTTTATTCGCCGAAAACCCAGCTTGAAGATCAATAGGTATCCTTGGGATTAAGGACGTAAACCTATGGGCTGAAGGTTACTGCTCGAGGTCCAAGGAAATTACCTCTCTTTGAAACATACAACAGCTTTATTCAGATGGGTGCTAATCCCAATAGGCAGGACATGAAGCTTTGACTCTTGACTCTTGGGACTCCTTACCAAGTCGAATCCTGCCATGGTGTCTGGAAAGACCTTCAGGAGGTACATGGCCTCCTGCACAGCATCTTTGAGCGTAGTGAGGTTTACACCCCTGATATGTAAAGACAGATAAACAGATTAGTTCAGTCCTGTAGTAGAGAGAGAGCGTATTCACGCACATTCTTACTCATGAACATCTCCAAAAACAAGTCGAGGTGATCAGATTACTAGCCGATTCTTGCGTACTCTCATGCAGGCTTTGGGTCTCACCTGTGAACGGTGAAGATGATGCGAGCGCCCAGGAAGTCTGGATGCTGAGACACAAACTGTTTGACCACGTCCTGATAGGCCTGGAGACACCAGGCTCGGTCACGTGTGCTGCCATCGAGCTCATAGATCTGTGTAACATCAGGTCACATTACACTCAGTCACCCAGCAGCACGATATATCCAAAAACAGCAAATCGCCAGCGAGCACATTATTTGAATCTCTTGCAACAACCGGCATCCCACTTCCTTGCTCCATCCAAATCTCCATGCCAACCCAGGTACTCAACCTGCCATCTATAATCCCTCCAAATCAAACTGCTTAATGCCCTCTTTGCATTTCCTTCAGAAGAGTCAGTAGCTAGCGTGCATCATTTGGAAGCGTCTTCGAGAAGCAGGGCATGACTCCTGCTGACCCCCTTGCTGGCAGGTCAATGAGGTCCCACTGAAACACCCATCGGTGTCTCTATCCATCAGCTCAGCAGGGCCAGTTTCTCCCAGTTATCGACTGGTACCAATGAGCCACACTGCACGAGAGAGTTTTGTTAATATCGTGTTTCAGGTTTCACTGGCACATATACGTACTTCAGGCAGCAGAGCTCTCAGCTCGAGGTACATGATGTTGTCCTTGTAAAGCATCTGCAGGCCCTGATAGAAATAATCCTTGAACACAGGGGCATGAGTTACGAGGCCCATGGCCACCATGAAGACCTGCTCAAACTTCTTCCACACCGCATCCTGGCTGGGGTACGCAGAATCGGGGTCTGCAGTCACCAGGGTGAGGTTCCTTATCAAACTGCACCGGGGGCGGCAGGAATTTAAAAAAAAAAAAAAAACAAGAAAGGAAGAAGAGCTGAAGCACAGCTGAAATTAAGAGCAAGATTCATTTAAACGTCCCAAACGAGACATTTCATTCTGCCCGACAAAAACAAAGCGCTGCATCGCTAATGCTATACTTTAGGGGGTAGTAGTGCATTACTACTTAATGCATTAATTAACCAGAAACTAAGTGTTAGTTATGTACTGATCCCAAGTTCATTCCTCATTAATCATAATGGTTCCTGTATCTCATGTACTTACTATATTTGTTTATGATCTGTGCTTGAGTTACTAAAGGCCCCCCTCATGTACAGCATTACCGCTGCATATGTTATCAAAATTGCATTATGACCAAAATCAGGTCTCTTGGTCTTTGCTTTATTTCGTGTCAAAATATTTTAGTTCAGTTATGCTCAGTTCTGAAGAAAAGAGTCTGAGAATTTCAGTAACTATAAAACGCTAAAACCAAGGAGAAACTCCCCTTTTCTCAGTTTCGGTGCCTCGCCTTCGTGGGGCAGCGCTCACAGCTCATCGAGGGCAACCTCACCTGCTGTCAAGGTCGGTGGTGTTTCCTAGCTGCTTTCTCAGAGTCTCCAGCAGCACCCAGGGGGAGCACTGAGGGCGGGGCGGGGGCAGCTGGCCGGAGAAGCGGAAGCGTACAGAGTCGTCCTCGGTGATGCAGATGTAGCAGTGCGGCCTGTAGGTGACATTCTTCACCAGCCATTCCACGTCAACCAGGGAGAAGTCATGAATGTGCAGTGCCGCTCCTGAAAGACGTGGGAGAAAACGGTAGTTAAGACAACTCCCACAGTACGAATTACATTTTTTGTTATCATTATTACTGCTCTAACAAGCAGTTGGCCATCTTAACTATGGGCGCGTCATTTGGATGCCGCCATCTTAACTGTGGGCAAGTCGGGACCGCTTCTCTACCTTTGGGCATCTTTCTCAGCAGGTTGAAAACCGGACTGCGCTGTATCAGTGGCCGCGCTTTGAAGAAGTGCATAGCAGGAGGGAACTGCGGCCCGGCCATTTCCTGCTCTTTCAGTTTTTGAAGCTGAGTGTTGAGTTGCCTCTCCTTCTCCGTCAGCAGCACTCTGCCCCCTATCTGCCTGGAGGCCTCCTGCTGCTTTAGGATGTCCCTCTTATGGCGGTCAGGAATCCCATGACACAGATCAGCCCAGCACAACAGCAGCACTGGTAAAAGAGCTATCAGCAAGGACCCTGGCAATGGTGATACTGGCATGGTGCCTAATGATGAATGGCACTGTGGACAATACAAAACAAAGGTTACCTCTATATATAACATCCTCAAAATACTGGTATCAGTCCTGCTAGGTGTACCATTTATATTTGTAATTTTAGATCTACAGGTGTTTCCTAGTATTATTTTCATTCCACATTTACATAGCCCTTACTATAGCAGATCGTTTTTTAATTACTATTATTTTTAGCCCGGTGCAGGTGTCTTATCGTCAGTATGGGTGTGCAGATCCGCAAAATCCGCCAGCTGGTAGTTTCTCACAGAAACGGAGGGCAATTTGCGCTTCCTTTCGGCTTTAACGCACACAGCAGGTCCGGTCACCGGTCTCAGCAGTTCCGAGACGTAAACTTCTGGCTAAAGCGCTCCGTGCCTCTAGCGGCGACAGGAGTACAAAACCGGGAGCAAAGCGGGTAAACAAGCCGCTTTGTCCAGCTCCCCATTCAGACACCATGGAGGTGCATTTCACTTTGCACCGCATTTTAAGGAAATAACTCATCGATGCTTATACAGCTCAGCGATGATTGTTAACGTACAAAATTACATGCAGAACTGACAGTCACCCTGTTCAATTAATGGCAATTTTGTTCGCAGAAAGGCCGTATATGCGCTTGACGTTTCGCTTCAGCAAAAGCAAGCAGGACGAAACGGAGCTTTGGGGTTTTGCTCGGTATTGCACAGCACCGCCTCGGTGCATTTGCTTCGACGTCATGAAATCTGTGCGAAACGTACCAGTGTGAAAAGCTCCGTTGTCTGCTTGCTGTCTGTGCGCTTTGCCGAGCCGCCGTACGGGAAAAGGCGCTGCAGGTCCGGAGACAGACCGTACGTTTGTCCCCTACTTCCGAGAAGGAGCTGCGTCACGGCCAGCCGCATTCAAGCCAGTACGTGTCGCTAACAGGGAGTCATAAACGCGGCACCGTTTACACCAATAATTACTTTACAGATAAATGTCAGTTTCACTACAGACGTGGTTAGGTTTTTTTGCACTTTGCATTAATCGAAAAGCATTTCGAGCCGTCCTAAAAGCGCCTTTTACACCCGAACTGGTTATTTGGCGGTGGCTAGTGAGTAATTTATATTATTCAAAAACTAATTTTACGTTTTTTAAAAGCAAAGTTTCAAATCAGAGGCTTTAAAATACTTAAAATTAGTTTTTGAATAATATAAATTACTCACTAGCCACCGCCAAATAACCATGCAGTTCGGGTGTAAACTGGTGCTTTTAGGACGTCTTGACAATTATGGGTATTTTGATTTATCCAAGTAGGACGAACAAATTCGAAGACATTCATGCAAAAAAAAAGTTATTTATGCGAAGAATTGTTCGTGAAATGACAGGTAAGTTCCAAAGTAATCAATCAGTGTCCAGACATTAGTGAGCATGGATAAATGGCGAAGCCTTGCTAAGCTAAACGTCAACGAGAAATTACGGTAATTGTAAATTAATGCGACGATATACAAACCTACAAATAGAAAAGTCATACATAATCCGCACAACAAAAGGTAGCTGTTTTTACTAGACACTAGTCAAGAAAACGTTTGCTATGCACAGAGCAGTTTAAAGGGAATTACAGTGCTAAACGGACTCCCGATAACTATCAATCATTCTGTGTAGCCTTTGAAGCAGCCTTCTGGCTGGTAACTTCATAGAACTGCCTGTGACTTGCCTGCATAACGCACTTAACATTAAGTTAATACTGTACGGCCCCCGCTCCTTCCACTGCACCTCACTGTGGGTATGTATACACACACACATACACTCAGTAACAAAAAAAGTTAGAAGTAATGGTCCGATTTGGATGTAATTTGGTACCCGTGCAGACCAGCGATGGGTATGTAAATGATTCGATTTGCATGGAGCTACCACGTCTAGTCACCAGACACAGAGGACGCCTCGTATACGCATTAGACAGCATTACTAGCACGTGGCGGAGTTTGATAGGGGTCGTATTGTGGTTTTGCATGAGGCCTGGTGGTCGTATCCTGCAATTGCCCGGCATGTGGGGGGTGCAGATGTCACAGTCGGCCAGTATTGGACACAATGATTTACTGGAAATCATTGCAGTGGCTCAGTATCACTTCTGAAAACCACTGTCTGTGAACATAGTTCGTCGTTGCATCCCCAAATGCAAAGAAGAAACCATATCTAAACAGCTCTTTTAAGATGGATGAGGCCAAATGGAAAACTGTCCTGTGGTCTGATAAATCCAACATTTCAGATTCTTTTTGTAACTCATGTCCTCGAGGCTAAAGAGGAGAGTGACCATCCAGCTTGTTACCAGCATCTGGTCTCATGGGGGTGCACTAGTGCCCATGGCTTGGAAGGGAACATACCAGTAATGCTAAACGATACATACTGGTTTTGGAGCAACATATGCTGCCCTCTAGACAATATCTTTTTCAGAGAAGGCTTTGTATATTTCAGCTGTGTCCAGACCTGTCACACACTGAAAACATTTGGTGCATCATGAAACTACAAACACGACAAATTGTTTAGCAGTTGAAATCCTATATCAGGCAAGAATGGGACAATATTTCACTTTCAGAATTACAGCAACTGTTCTCCTCAGTTCCCAAACATTTACAGTGTTGTTAAAATAAGTGGGTGACGCAGCACAGTGGTGAACATGCCCCTGTCCCAACGTTTTTGAAATGTGTTGCTGGTATCAAATTCTAACTGAGCGTATATTCGTCATAAAACAATAGCATTTTTCAGTTTCAACTTTTGATATGTTGTCTTTGTTCTATTTTCAGTCAAATATGGGTTTATATGATTTGTAAATCGCTGCAATCTGTTTCTATTTACATTTTACACAGCATCGCAGCTTTTTCAGAAATGGGGCTGTGTGCATATATAAATGGCATATATAGCCTTGCAAGCATTATTGCAGAACTCAAAGGCTCAGGAGATAGCAGTGGGGGTGGGGGGGGGCTTTAAGAAAACAAAGACTATGTCCCTGTGGACCCCCCAGCCACAGACGTTGTGATGACATGGCAGATGAGATCAGCAAACTTGCATGCATGCAAGACCTCCGAAGGACGAATCTGCAGTGTCAGAGTGTTCATGCAGAAAAATCTCAAAAGTCACTGTACCAGACTCTCAGCCACTTAACTGAGAGAGGAGACCAAGCACTATTTACTGCTTGGGTGGGTTTGGCAAATATATTATAATTAAGAATAACAATGAGACATTTCATTCACTGAAGTTTAGCACAGCATGAGTCGAGCCACCATACAAAAGAGAGATCAGATTGACTGAGACAGCAAATCGGCTGTTATTCTAATGCTGCAGTTTTCACAGGAGCATTAAGACTTAATCTAACACCATCCCTCTCCCTGTGGAGTTGTAACAGTAGACTGTAGCCCTGCCAGACTGTCTGGGCCAACTAGACAAACCTCACCGATTATGTGTCGACTTTCTTCAGACACTCATGCCCCTTCAGTCCAAAGATTTGGGTGTATGTGTGTCTCCAGTTACCTTCGGGATGTGTGTGAGTGCGCCCCCTGTTGTATTTTTGCACCCTAACTTGTGCCATGTGCTTCCTGGAATGCAGTCGTCACCGTAACTCTTAATCTCAAACACCAACCTCAAATCAACTTCCCACAAAGAGCAATACTGGGGAATTTTAGGAAACATGCAGAATAAAAAGCTTTCAGCACCAGTACAATGTCTAACTGTGTAATTTTATTTCAGTAATAAAAATATTATCCTATTATACAAACTGGTTATGGGAAATATCATTAAAGATGGAATTCCATAGTCCTTACATTTTGTGAAAGATGAATATTGAATAAAAATGTGACATTTGACAAAGCACATGTACAAATACAGGGTATTCTTTGTGAAAACCACATCTGGACACAGAGACGGACCCATTAACAGCCCTACAGTGGTGGACAGTTTTTTTTTTTTTTTAATTAAAAAAGGAAAAATAAAAAGACAACACGCTACGTTAGCAGGACATGTCCGTGGTATGACATTGTGTCTGAATCCATGTGATCCCGAGGGGAGAACGAAGGATGAAATATCAGCCATGAAGATCCAAAGGCAGCACACTGGGAGAACCGGCACAGAGAGAACCGGCGCGTGGAGAACCGGCACGGGGAGAACCGGCGGGCTTCAGGAGATGCAGAGGTGCTGCTGATGGATACATGAGACACCAGGGTGCTTAGGCAGGAAATGCACCAAGAGTCTAAATGAACAGGCCCCCCAATAAACTTCTGTGCTTTCATACAGGAATCAATTATTTTTTACCTCTGCAATTATTTACAACATTCAGCAAGTATCATTTCTGTAACTTTTGTTCCTAAAGACGGCCGTACGCACAGTGCCTGACTGCTGACCCAAAGGGCCACGTCACAGGAAGTGTGCAGGAGACAAAAGGTTTATCATTGTATTCAGTTCCCTTTTCAATAAAGGACAGACAGGGTGGGGGGAAGGGAACAAACATGAAGTGAAAGTCCGCTGGCACATTAAGGGACTCATTCGGCAAGAAATAAAAGTTCTTGTGTCAAGGTCAAAGAAAAACCACAGGAGATGGAGCCAGGGCTGAGACCGTGGTCTGCCTCAGGCAAAACAAAACGCAGAGATATGCAGGAGTCATAAGAACGAGGGACAGGTTGAACAAATCGATACAGAAGGTCAACTGACTCTTCCAACAGAGTAGCACCACGACATTTTGCTGTACTCTCATATGAAGTGGAAATCCATCACTCAGGACTGCAGAAGCTTGGGTGGGTTTACGGCATGCGCAGACACACATCTGTGCAGCTGCAGGTCCTCCAGATGTGCAGGCCAACTCTGAACTGTAGGCATGCGGCAGCTGCACAAGGCAGGTCTGATGTGAAGCTTCTCCAACAGGGAGACGATCTTCGTCTTCCAAGGGCAGATGGTGAGGTACACAACCAAGGGATCACATCGGCTGTGGAGAACACCTCTCTAATTGCAGTTAACAGTTAAGAAACACCCATTAAGACACTCTCATTTGTTTGTGTGTTTTTTGTGATTTTTACTGAATTTCTTAATGTATAAAAACATATATAAAACATTACATATTTTCTGGTCAAAGACATTTTTTAGGAATATGACAATTTATTCGGAGATGTACAAAGCAGAAACATAATTTCTCTTCTTCACATGGGATGCTTCTTGGTCAGCCAGCAATTTTCAACTGAAATCTCTCATAAGATCTGATGTGACACGTCCGTCCGCCTGAGATGTTCACACAATGAGCGTCTTAATGCCTCTGACTGGGCCTGATCACGACTGGTCCTCTGCATTTAGAAATACACGGACTGACCCAGCGCTCACCCAAGATGGACATAGTGCTCAGGCACCGGAACCCTCTGTTGGACCATTACACCCTTGAAATGGTCCCTGGACTGGGGGGCTCTGAAAAAGGGCATGGCAGGTTGTTCGGGGGCGAAAGGCAGACACTGGGGCCAGCGAAGGGCGTCTGGCAGACTGGGGGGGGGGCGCTGAGGAGCACAGAAACGGGGGGGTGACATCGGGTGGGGGGGAGCGGTGCACTGGGTGTATTTGTAGCCAGCAGCATGGGGGGGTTGGGAGGCGAGACGACATATTGCTGAGGTGTGACTGTCCAGGTCCAGTATGTCCTTTGGACTCCCGGGCCGATCCAGCGCCCCCTCCACCAAGGCCGGCCTGACCGGGCTGCATCGCGGGAGTTCTGGCAGGGAGCTGGGCGACAGCAGACTCGCGTCGGAGCCCTCCACGGCCCGCGGGGACGTGCCGGAAACAGGTACGTACGTCCCGGAAGATACCGGGAGGCAGGTCTGGGGCGACGATCCAGGCCACTCGCCCGTGGCAAAGCCGCCAGCGCCGCGGGATCGCAGAGGCTGCAGGCCGTATCCCGGCAGCTGGTACGCAGGGAATATAGTGGGGCTGCTTTGGCCCATTTGGTAGGGGTAGGGCTCCCTTTGCTGGTGGTAATGGGCATAGTGAGCAGGTCTCTGTTGGGGGTTCATGCTTTGAGGCGGTGCTTGACAGGGAAAGGGCTGCTGATTGGAGGGAGATAGTCTTCCCATTGGCCGACTATAGTGTCCGTCCGTGGGCCTGCCCAGGTTAAACGGATACACGGTCTCCCTGTCCCGCCCCTGGGAGTGGTGAGGCATAACTGGATTAGCAGAAGGCACCAGTCCATTGTGGAACTGGTTGCCATGGCTACCCAGTAACGTCTGCATCTCGGGGTTGAAGAGCGCCTGCTTGTGCTGAGTGCCGGTCGGTGTGTTTAGCTGCGCGGGTTTCACAGCACCGGCGATGGGGAGGAGGCAGCGGCTTGCGGACTCTTCAGGCCTCTGGCTCGCATGTCTGGCCGGGTTGGGCCACACCGGGGGCTGGGGGGCGGGACAGCCGGCTGGCAGCGACGAGACGGCAGCCTGCGGAGAGACGTGCAGAGGCGCCCCCTGCAGTACGCGACAGACGGGCTGCAGGGTGCACCCCCGCTCCCAGCCGTGTATTTTCAAGCCCCTCCCTCCACCATCGGTCCGCCTCCTTGGATCTGGGCCCGGGGGGGTCTGCACGCCTCCGTTTGGATGGTTTGGCTCATCTGTGGAAGCGAGGACAGACTGTCACTGGTGTCACCCTGGTACCCCGAGGGGCCACTTTTGGGACAGTGGACTTTGTCATGGTTTTTATGGCCTAAAATTTCAGAGTAATTTGCAAGTGTGCTTTTATTTTATTCACGTAATTCAATATGACAGAACCAAAAGAATTTGAACCTCTGTAAATCAGGGACGATTCTAGTTTTTTTTAAGGTGGGGTCGCCATATGGGGGACATAATTCATACAGAGGCACTCTCCCAATGCCCCTGGGCCCCCCCCATATACGCCCCTTCTATAAACTGAAATATATGATGATGTACATTATTTAATTAACCAAAATGAATTGGTTGTTGTAAGACTTTATGTTCAGGTTCTTCAGCATCAGCTCAGAAATGTCTGAGGGAAACGGCAAAGACCAGAAAATGGAAAAGCCTGGAGAGCAAACATACACACACACACACACACACACACACACACACACACACACACACACACACACACTCTCCCCCATTTCAAGCTGCGCTGACGTGATTAAAGGCGACGCCGTGCCTCACGTGTCTGAACGGATTTCTCAGCATTAATATTAACGAGGGCACAGCAGGCACTAATGGAGCGAAGGTTGTTCTTACTTTGGGGGGGTGCAGCCAGCCGGTGGGCAGAGTGCCCATGTCTGCCCGGCTCCCCGCTGGACCGCAGCAGCGAGCTTTCAGGAGAATTCAACTGCGGGAGAGGGGTAGGAGCCGGAGGCTGCTGGAGACCGCTGCCGTCCCGGGGGGGCGGTGGGCAGGAGATGCCATCTGGGCGTCTGGAGGATGAGCACAGCTGCTGGAGGACAAGGGCTTCTGGGCCGCCCAGAGGTGGAGGATGTATGGGGGGCTGGTCGGGGGTGGGGTGCAGGGAGCTGACAGCAGGGGGCGCCCCATACCCCGGGGGCAGTTCTGACCAGGTTCTGAGGGGCATAGGATGTCTGGCCACATCAGGGTCAAAGGGGCATTGGGTCGGGGGATTCCTGACAGCACGATCCTGCACGGCAGGTCCGGCTGACCTTTGGCCGTTCGTCGAGGTCCACGAGGCGACCAAACCTTTCCCAGGAGGATAGAAGCAACCATAGGACTGGTACGGCGGCCCCAATCCTGGGGCTTGGGGTCTGTCCCCCCAGGGATGCCCCATGTGCCCCTTGGGCAGGAGGCGGGAGGGGTATGTGCTGCCCTCTGGTGGGGGGGCACATAGACCCCCACACTGCAAAGGCTGAGGCCTTGGGCCCAAGGACGGACCATGGAGGGGCCCTGTGTGGGGCTGCTGCCTGGGTTTAAAGTGCCGGGCCACGGGGCCCATTAGGAAATGAGGCTCAAGGTGATGGTCCTCCCCTAGGGGGCGCTGGAGAGCAGAGGGGAATCACACATAGTTATATGGCATAAGCAAACCTACAGCGCATTGGATTCAAAAAGAACCTGAGGGCTTACCTGCATGCTGGAGCCTGGAGGCTGAGAATTAGGGGCCCAAGAGCAGGATTCTGGGGTCCTCTGTTCAGGGAGCTCTAGTGGGGGGTCTGCAGCCGTCGGCCGAGGCATCTCCTGGGAGCCAGACTGCTGCTGCAGCCAGAAGGGAAGCAGGACCCAGGCTGATGGGTATATAACGTGCTCCGGCGCTGGGGCCGAGGCCCCGCATCCCTCCTCATGCACATCATTTGCATTCCCAGGACTAGACTAGTTCTTAGGGATGGTTACAGACCACAGCACTAACCTGGTCAGTTGTCTGGCAGACCCTGGGGGTGGGGTCATGTCCCGGAGGGGGCGTGGGAGAAGAGTCATGTGGACATGGGGGTGTGTCGGTACGCTGCGAAGAGGGTCTGTGTCTGTCCTCCTCCACTGGGGGCGCCCTGCTGCCCTTCCCACCCAGAGGCCCGTGTCGGCGCCGGGCCGGCCCAGAGGCCCGTGCGAGGCGGTCCAGGGCCCCGCGGGACCTGGCGCCTCGTCCCCGCCGGTGGTCCTTGTACTCGCGGTCCTTGACGGCGGTGTGGAAGTCGTCGTCCGTGTCGCAGTCGTCCCCGGGGAAATGCTTGAGCAGGGCCTTGCAGAAGCAGTGCCGCAGGGAGCGCGCCATGGCCGTGTACTCTGGGGCCGCAGGACACACATGCGGCTCCTTAATTTATCAGCCATGACGGTGCGAGGACCCGGAGGTAAAGGCAGGCCGTCACGGCACACATACCTCCCCATCTTCCCTGAGCCAACCCACTGACTCGCTCTGACCTCTGACCCCTGCATTGATGTAAAAGGATGCCCCCCTCCCCAACATAGCTAAGGCATTGACCGGAATGTTCCGAGGGCCCTCGCTGGCTTCCAGGCACCGCTGGACCCCTCTCAGCCAAAGGACAGCTGGATCGCTCTCCATTAATCAAAGTCAGGCCGCCCCCTTCACCGCAACCTTTACTGCGGGCACACAGGCCCCGCAGGCTTTTTTTTTTGGGTGAAAAATGCAGCGGTTTTAGTGCATGAAGAGCCAAAGCCATCCACTCCCACTCTCCTCTCTAATCACGGCTGTGTCACGCCAGTTTGCTCCATGCTGGAGAAAGCTTAGCAAAGCCGGAACAGTTAATTGAATGTCAAAATGAAAAAGAAAAAAAGAAAAAATAAAAACACATGGACTCTACGGGTCTCCCCCACCACACAAATCCCGAAGGTGACCGACTGGATGGAAATTCAGGGCAGGGAGGGACCTCACCGCTGTCCTCGCCGTTGTATTCCTGGCAGTTCTCGAATATGAGCCGGACGTCAGACACGAACTCCTCCTTGGCCACGTACTCCCCATCGTTCAGCTTCTTCTCGATGGTGGACAGGTCCATTGGCGTCTTGCGAACGAAAAAATACCCATGTGCCGTGATAGATGAGGGGAAGACAAACAACATCCTCAACCTTAAACCATCTCTGCTCACCTTCCGTCCCGGTCTTCCGCTCACCTGGATGATCTCGTGATAGTGGGGAGCAAAGGACTCGTCCACTGGCTCCAGGAAAGGCCATGAGTCTTTGTGTGCCTTGATGGTCTCCAGCACTGAAAGACATCGATGCTGGTTAGAACATGTAGGGGTGACCATGTTTCCTCTTGCAGTCACTAGTGTGACTTTAACCTAATGGGTTGGATGGGAAAGAGAGCACAGCGCCCCCAGTGGAGGAGGACCGACATAGACCATCTTCACAGCCGACCAACATGTTTTTAATCAATGATACTTGACACAAGTGCAGATACATAGAAATTCTATGGTTTTCCCCCATCAGGGTGAAGTCAGTCTTTTTCTCCTGGGTGCTGGAGCAGTTTTTGGCGTTAGGGGTCTTATTCAAGGGCCCAACAGTGGAGATAACGGCGCCACCTTCTGGATTCAGGCGTGTACTCCTACCTTTGTACAAAGCGGTGTAATCGTCATCGATTTCAAAGCTGTAAGACAAGGTAAGGGAAAATTATCAGCTGCTCGGTGGATTTCACGATATGGGGGACACTTTGGGGTCCCACCATGGCCTGTGGTGAGGAGGTGAAGCGATGCTCGGATGGAGGCCTTACAAAGCCTTGGTCCGGTGGACCCAGCGGGCGGCGCAGCGAGGCTCCAGGTGCGGGGAATCGGGCGGCAGCTTCTTCCCCTGGGAGAGCAGCCAGACCTTCTCTTCACGCTGCCGCCGTCGATGTGCTCGCGCTGGAGGAAGACGAGGAAGAGGAGGGGGACCCAAAACGGGATGTTAAATTCCACCCCCAGGCCAGGCAAGCCGTTCGTCCTCGTCCTCCCCAGCAAAGTCAAGCGATCACCAGGAGGACCAGGAGAGCCTGGAGCTCGAGCATCTCCACGCAGAGCTGAGCAGTAGTGCATCACGGGGAATGCGCTGGCAGCTCTGCGCACAGGCGCTAAGGACCGCACTCCCCCGCTGTGAAAGGAACCCGCACAAACCGGACCCCCGAGACAGGTTCTGCTGTTAATCTATAATACATTAATTAGGATCAAAAGTTAATTAACCCCTGACAGATGACATGGGGGGGTGGGACGGTTTTAGATGAGCTGGGTGGATGTCCCCACACAGCATCCCAACCATGATTCACCCGGACATCGGGCCGGAAGGGGGCTGAGTGAGGCGTCATGCATTATTTATAAGCGCGGTAATAAATCACTCGCCCTGGGTTACGGCGTGACAGAGAAACCCCCCCCCCACACATATACTTCCTTTGGTTTAAGCACAAGACTGATAAAACTACACCTGAGCGATATATTATCTCCTGCGTCCCCCCCCCCCGCACCCTCTCACCCCCTGGTGACTGCCCAGGGCCCCGTATCCATCACAACCCCCCCGGCTGTGTGTCTCTCACTCTCCACGGCCCTGACCTCGTAGGAGCAGCATTCATCACCTCCTCCGCGTCTCCGTCCCCAACCCTGGGAATGCACTCCTGCGGTTTGCCCTCCCCCGAGGATCCAGCCCCCCTGTCCCTCACCCTCCACAGCATGGAGCCGTTCCTGGTCCTTGTGCTTCTGCTCTTCCCAGTGCAGCGCAGCCAGTTCCTCCCTCTCCTCCTCCTCCTCCTCCTTCTCCTCCACCTTCGTCAGACACTCCTCCCGCACCACAGCTTCGGCTGCCTCCTGTGTAAACGCACGTGAACGTTGGCTGTAAGTGTCCACAGGTCTCTGTCCCATGTGGCACCGATGGGGGGGGGGGGTCTCTTTACCCCGTTAGCGATGTGCTCGACGGAGACGTGGCGTGGGTCGTGTAAGGGGTCAGGGTCCAGGAGCTTCTCCTTCTGTTCCTTTTCCTGAGAGGAGAATGAGAAACTCCATCAAAGGCCTGAAACAGACTAGAACAGGCTCGCGCTCACATAAAGCATGCTAAGGCTAACTAGCATCAGAGATCCCAACAAGGACAGGAAATCTGTGTCACTATGAGGCATAAGCAGATACTTTTTAAGCCTGTTGATTGTACTGCTCTTCATCCATCCAACCATCCATCCACTTATTCAGTACAAGATCATAATGACCTTGGGTCTATTCCAGGAAGCACAGGGCATCAAGGTGGATGGTACATACACTACACACACATTTACACGCTATGGGTGATTCAGACAGCTCATGCATGTCTTTGGACTGCAAAGGCAGAACAGAATGAACAAACAGAATGATACTTTATTGATCCCTGTGTGGAAAAGCCACACAACATGGGCAGAACATCCAAACTCCACACACACACAAAGGAGCTGGGATTTGAGCCATCAACCCTGGTGATGTGGGGCAACACTAACCCCACCCCAATAAAAAAAAACAGACCAATTAAATTGTTTCATCCATTTTAGGCACTGAGGGCCCTACAGAACGAGATGGGACGAGACGTAAGTAGATCATGTGACCATCAGTCAGCCACACCGCCAGCAAGGTAAGCCCAGAACACTACCCCCGCCCCCCAACCCCACCCACTCTCTACCCTGACAGCACAGTCAGCGGCTAGTAATCCAGGCCCGGTAATCCAAGACCATGGCTGGCACAATAACCAGCGGTCAATCAGGGATCCCCGCCATGCCCCAACTCAACCTAAAAGCAAATGTGGAAAGTGGTGGTGCGGGGGGGGGGGGGGGGGGGGGGGGGGGGGCCTAGCCGATATCTGCTGCAAGCTCCACCCAGGCAGAGGTCCCGAGACTCCAAGATGACAAGTGGGCATGCAGTAAATCCAGTGAAGCTCCGCACTGCCTCCGTCCTGCGGGTCGCTGCCGCATCTAACGGGCGTCGCGAATCAGTGTCAAACCTCACTTTACTGGTGAAGAGCCAGCGAGGGGTGCTTACATTTTTCTCCCTCACACGTGTGGTTCCGGTCCCTTACCTGCCCCCCCCCCCACACACACACGCCTTTCAGCCACCATCTACCAACCTAATTTCACGCTAGATTTGTACAGCACATAAATCCACGTTAAAAAGATGGCCGCTCGCAGGGGGGATTGCCGCTCATGCGTTAGCCCGAAAGCGGCGCAGAGAGCCGGGCAAAACATCTGCAAACCCACTCTGTGCTCGATCATGCTGCCGATCTTGGGGAGGAAGTTCTGGCTGATGATCCGGTACAGCTGCCGATCCTGGGGCGAGAGCTCGTCTTTGAGGCGTTCGGCCAGCCTGACCCACTGCTCCTCCGTGTCACACACCAAGGACCAGGTACCTCGCTCCCGCTCTGAGGAAGCCAACGCTGCCATCATCATCGCCATCATGAGCAGTTTTTCAGCTTTACACCACAAACCTAGACTCACCAACACCTTCATCAAAGATGTAAGTAATTAATGTTCATTTTAATCTCATTATCATTCACCTTCAAGGTTGCATTTGATCACAGGAACTACTTGGGGTGAGAGACAGAATAGAGGTGAGATCCATTAGCAGATCTGCTCACCTGGCTGGACACCCTGAACCTCGTTCACTTGTGCTGAGTTCAGCACACTGTTAAAGAGAGCAGATGTATTAAAAATAGCCTGACACCATTGAAGACCATGTACAGCTACCATAGATGATGGGAGTTATTAGAGAGCTTAAGCCAGTGTACTGAGAATACGACACCTGGTAACCAAGTCAATGACTATTCGAGCACCATCACGCTTGAGGGCTTCAGGCAGAGGTTCTACCTGTGCTCCATCTCTGCCAGCCTCTTCCTCCTCTTCTTCGGTGGCCTTCCCCTTTTTCTCTTCTCTGTCAATCTCACCTCAGGGACTTCACTACAGGGACAAGATACTGAGGCGTCAGTGATTAAAGTTTATGCAACGACTTTTGATAAGATTTATCCTTGACCAATGACTCTGGCCTTTGTTTGAAGATTAGACAGAGGCAAACATTTCGCAATCCCAGGTAGAACCTCTCTGACCTTGGCTTCACAATTACTGGCTCCTCCTTGTACATGCGTGTGCCATAGAAGTACCAGTAGAGGGCACCATTTCCATCTTGCCCCAATGGCTCCAGACGCAAACTGTCGGCATCCAGGCCCTGCGTTCAGTTTGGGAGTTACTCAGTGCTCTGTTCACTGGGCAAAAGCACTGCAGCACTCACCAAAAGCACAGATGCTTATGAAATGACTGAGATTTGTTTACAAGGCACTGGGTGCATGGAAAGGCCCGTCTCCATGGCCGCTAGGAATCAAAACAAGCTTCTTCAGATGGCACACAACACCAGAGACTGACTGCCCATCTGCAATCAGTGGCCACTAATTTTCCACTTTGAGCGATACCTTGAGCAGGTCAAAGACATCGGGGGCATCTAGGCGGTAGTCACAGAGCTGGTGTAGGAGGTCCACCTGCGTCCGGGGGGGTAAGGCCTCAAAGGGGGCTTGTCTCAATGGGTTCAGCTTGCCCTCCTCGAGCTCCCAACGGTAGCTGATGATGTCATCGAGGTAAGTGCTGAAGGCCTGTGGCCTAAAGATTCAGGTAGGAGCAGGACAGAGTGTGGATGTGAGCAGAACTGACGATGGCACAACTGTAACCAAAGCAGCACTGAGGTCTTCCTTTAAGTCACAGTTTATTGAAAGAAGGTGCTGCTTGCTCTATACTTCATGCCATTGTCACAAAAACCCAACTAGTGGCCCTGGTACCGAATCATACATCCTCTGTGTCATTGTGTGTTGGGACCATTGAGAGTCCAGCAGAAGAAAGTCAAGAAAGTCCCATCAAACTGCACTGGTTCCAGTGAGGGTGTAAACAGCTGGTCTTTCAGCCCTGGCCTGTGTCCCATTTTCTCTGAATATGGGCAGGGGTCGGGTTGTTGGGGGGGGGGGGTTGCGGATGTGCATTGGATCTGGGTCGAGTCAGTCTGATTAATTCAGAGCCACAAACACCCCAGGTCCTGCTCAGATGAAGACAAGCAAAAGCTCAGGGCGGGGGGGGACTAGTGTGACAACAGAAAAACAATGGGTGTATGTGTGTGGGGGGGGGAGGCTGAAACAGGCTTATCATGCTGTGTGCACTCTCTCACAATGTAGCCACGTTCCCCACTGGCCTCCCCCCCACTCCAGCTCCCCCCTTCTGTAATGTGTGCAGATGAAAGGAACAGCTTTAAGAATGCCCCCCCCCTCCCAAGTCAAACGGCTGACTGCACCCCCACCAGCTGGGTGCTAGTGGCCGTCTCATCCAATAAAAGGCTCCATCCTGCCACCATCGCCACTGCACTGCCGGGGGCTGGTAGAGGGATTGGGGGGTACGGGGGGGGGGGCACTCGTCAGCCTCTGCCTCTCCATTGCCAAACCCACAACCCCTAGTCCTGAAAGCAACACAAATCCACCCAATGCATGGGAATAAGAAAAGACGGATGGATTCGGATGCACGCCTATGAAAATTAGGGGCCACTCATTACCATTTGCATTACCCCTGGGCCACCATTCTCCAGCTCAAGAAAAAAAAAACAAAGCTAGAGTTATGGATGGGGCAGCGGAACCTTGAAAATTGCCGAGTACATCCAAAGGAGGTGCCCACGGCATCCCTAAGAGCCACGGGGGGGGGGGGGGGGACTCAGGCGGTGACTCACGTGATGTCAGAGCGCTGGTAGCATCCCTGTAGCAGGGAGGAGACCAGCTTGGCCAGGAAGTCACGGTCCTGCTTCAGCAGCGCCTCCTCCAGCTCCTGTCAGAGGGAGGACAACAGCAAGGACAGCGGGAGGTCAGCCTTCGCCGCTGCGGCAGTTTGAAACGGCACCGCCCGCTTGGAAGGGGCTCGCGGGCACGGCAGGGCGGTCACATGACCGGGGCGGACATTCCGAGGTTACCATGGAACCGGCGGAAGTTTGATTTACAAGAAAACAAAAAGCAAAAAGAATTTTAAAATGAGCAAGGCTCTCTCGCCATGAAACAAAAGACAGGGGTTCAAGTTCGGACCCCCCGCATAATAAACCACTAACGACTGAGCGCTTATGAAGCGTTACTAATGTAGAGAGTAACCTGTAGACCATGGGTGCCAACAATAGCATCATTAGCGCCGGACACTCACTCCATCCATCCATCCATGGGGCACAAAGCAAGGCCCCAACTCATTGTTTTTGGGCTGTGGGGAGAAAAGCTGGAGAACTGGAGAACCTGGAGAAAACCCCGACGACGACACACAGAGAACACGCAAACTCCACAGAGGTAGTGACTCGAACCCAGTCCCAGAAGTCAAATCACCCCTACATCAGCAATCTCAGACGGGGGGGGGGCACCCCTTCACCCCGCAGATAGCGCTTCAGCTCACGGCTCTTCAACTCCCACGTGCCCAACAGCACTACACCAAAAACCGTGTAGCCTTCCCCCGCTCCGCCGACCACCCCCATCGGAGCGGCTGACACAGCAGTCAGTGGGCCGCCCAGGTCACGCGGGGTGGGGGAGGGGATGGGGTCACCTGGGGGTCACCGCGCACACCTCGCAGCTGTGGCAAGGGGCGGAAGCCAGCAGACCACAGTCAGCAGGAAGAAGGGCAGGAGAGCAGAGTAGGGTGGAAAACAGGATGAGGTGGTCATGTCCGTGTTCAGGCGAGACGCCAGGCCGTCTAGCCCAGGGGGTATGGTCGGGGGGGGCAGCCCAGGGAGGTATGGTCAGGGGGGGCGGCCCAGGGAGGTATGGTCAGGAGGGGCGGCCCAGGGAGGTATGGTCAGGGGGGGCGGCCCAGGGGGGTATGGTCAGGGGGGGCGGCCCAGGGTACCAGTGTTTCAGTGGGACATCACACAAACGGCAAGTGGCTTCTGCCAGACCCAATAAGATGTGAACCACACTGATAACTCGATTGCACTGAAGGGGCTGTGCAATGGTCCGGAATGACGCATCGAAGTGGCTAAAGACTCAATTTTACAAACTCAATTTTACACAAATCTGCAAATGCAATCAAAAAAACTAAATTTTGTATTTTGTTTGGTTACTTATGGTTAAGGGCTGGGTGGGAGTTATGGTTGTCATTGTTGGGATGTTGCCCATAGAAGTGAATGAGCGATCCCCACAAAGATATGACTACAGATCTTTGTGCGTGTGTGTGTGTGTGTGTTCCCTGGTCCATGCCGGCCCGGATGACCATGAGGAATGCAGGGCCCCTCATTACCAGCTTGCTCTCCCTTCCGCCGGACGGCCGGATCCCCCGCCCCACTGACAGCCCCCATCCACACACCTCCGCCCCCGACCGCCCCGCCCACAGGGAGCACCCATTCATCAGGACGGGCCACACTTTGATCACACTTCAGACCCCAGGCCAGCTGGGGGGGGGGGGGGGGTTGGCTCGCTGGATTAACACCACCCCTTTCTCCCTTTGAAGTGAAATTCAGCAGTTCAGATGATGAAGAAGGGCCGAATTAATATTGCATGTGTCTTTTATTTCGACTCTCAGGCTCCCGGCGTCTCCTACTCCCACCTCGGGTCGCCGTTTAACACGCGTCCTGATTAAACTGGCTGCTGAACGTCCCCCCCCCGCCCCCTTAGCACAGCTGGGCCGCTCTTGGAGGTGTCCACGGCAGGGATCAAACGTGCTCCCGCTCCCCCAAGTAGGCCCACAATGCCCAAGGATTAGAGGGTGAAGGCATGTGAGTTCCAGAGAGCCATGGACAGAGAGTCTAATGGAACGTACCATTCATTGGCTGAAGACAAATGTGGGGGGTGACTTGTCTCAACAAGCCTCCTCTCAAAGTGAGCCAAAGGTCAAAGGTAATGCAAACACTGTCATCAATGCCCCCCCCCTCCCTCCCTATCCCAGCCCCGAGCAAAGACTGTCAAGCCCCATCTCATGATAAACCGATCTTCATCAGCTCTGACACCCCACGGAAGCAACCTGACAGGAATCTCAAATCTAGCACGGTTACACCTGGAGCAAAGGGCTTGCATTAACAGATGAGTAGATGATCAGTAGGTCCAGGACATTTGAATTCCACTAGATCACATGACACGGCTCCCTCCGAGGACAGCCAATACCCATTCAGTATCCATTTATACAGCTCCCTTGCACAAAGACGGATGCTTTCTAGAACCTAAAACAGCCTAGCCCTGCAAAGTCTCAGCACAAACAGAGCTCCTGTCGGACCAGGTCAAGAATGCATGGAATATGGCGCCTGTTCCACGGCCCACTAATCCTCCTGCAGAGAGCTGCCAACTAGTAACCAGTGGGGAGCGACGAGAGATTTCCACACAAGACACAAACACGTCCCATTTACAAGCAACGGCCACACTGTACTTCTGACCTCTGGCTGCTCGGCCGTGGATCCCGGCCCAGCCACCAGGAACGCATCACAGCCCATCGGCATGACTCTCATACTCCCTCCGCATCAACGGACTGCAGGACAGCATGGATTTGGGACTGAAGGGGAAAACGAGCAAGGAAGGAAGGGAGGGAGGGAGGGAGGGAGCAAGCTTAATGGTCTGACTAATGGCCTTTCCTACAAAAGGCAACCCCCCCAACTCCAATCTAAACATCCTGACCCTGGGACCACTAGCTAAAGTTTATTGCGGATCCCGGCCCAGAAGAAGCCGTTCCAGTCAGCCTCCCCGGTGGTGTGGTTGTGGGGGCTTTGTCTCAATGTCAGGGGCAGGTGCGGGGGGGGGGGATCCTGCTAATGAGGTCACTCTGCAGGTGACTATCATAAAGTGAGGTGGAGGAGGGAGGAGCAGAGGAGGAGGGTGAGGGTGACCCTCTATCATGAGTGAGAAGACCTCCTTTCTACATCAGATTGCAGACTGGGCCTAGGCTGAACCAACCTGTCAGAACGAGAGCTCAGGGGACATGTATGGCGAGAGCTCAGAACCACAAGCAAAGACCAGAAGGATGTGAGTTCCAGATGTTTCCCCAAACACACATCCAGCTGCCAGTCCAATTTACAGACCTTACTCACCACCTGAGGTCCAGTTGCTTGAGCTACTTCAACGCTACACCAAAGGAGATAATTGGGAATTCATCAGCTGAGGATCATCAGGATAAACTCTTGCTAATTAATGCATACATGAGTGTAGTGTAGTTTGGATTTTACAGAACGAGTTACTGTTGAGTTGGAGTCTAACTTAATGGCTGAACCGAGGCCCAGGTGAGAGCTGGGGAGGCTTAGCATGGATGCTGTCATGCCTGAGCAGGAGTGAAGGGAAATGTAGCATTTGATCCGATTCAGCCTCTCATGATACCAAGGCCAAACAGCTGTCTGCTTAGCTTTTGTCCTCCCCCAAATCCGGTCAGGCGCAACTCCAGTCTTTAAGAAAAGCGCTGCCAGCCTCAGATCTGAAGAAAGGAGCGAGCCCATCTTAAGAGGATTTTACAAAGGTAATATTTCTCTATAAAGGAACAGTTTGCCCCAGAGGAGAGGTGCAGTGCGGATCCGGCTGTGCCTTTGTCAGAGCCGGTCCTCTCGACCCTCCTAAATCCGAGATCGGAGGCCCACCTCGCTCACCCTCCTTCTCCTCCACCTCCTCTTCATCCCACACGTCTCCCACGGCCATAGCTCTCCATTGCCCTTCAAGCGCTACCCCCCCCCCCCCCCCTGCAGTGCTGCGGCTGTGCAGTGACATTCCCGCCAGATACCATACCACACCCCCCCCCCACATCACTGTCCCCAGCTCCAAGCTTCATGTACGAGTCTCGCCATCTTGCATCAAAATTACTGCACGACTCTAATCTCGTTTCTAATCAACAGTACATAATCTAATGGTAACGTGCAAGACAGAACCTCATAGTAAAATGTTACAAAATGCGCTACTCATGGGTTTCAATGATCTTCCCAGTGTTTCCTCCCTGGTCCTGAATGCACAGCAGACAGCAGAGCCCCTGAGGAGCCGTTGAGCAGAGACCCAATGGAGAGGCCTGACCCAAACTGATGACATGTGGTGGGGGGGATATGGGGGGATGGGGACGCCAACAATGGAAGCGACTGAAGCCAGGCCCAGTGCTTGCCTGGCTCTCAACACCCCCCCACATCTGCACGCCGCTGCAGAACCCCCCCCCTACACACAACCTTCACGCATGTGCTCAGCTGTCATTCCCGGCTGGGGGTGGGGGTGGGTGCTGACTGGGCGTGCCGCAGGAGAGAATGATGCGTGAGAGCTGGATGCGTCACCATGCCGGGCTGGAGAGATGGGTGAGATGGGTCGGCTTACTGGGCTGCCCAACCTTGTCTTAAAACGCTACATGCGACTGCTGCATGGATGCATCTCCCCAGCACTGGATGAACTGATTATTTAGATGAAAAAGGCCCTCCTCAAATCACAAGGCCTCTCCTGGGGCTTCGTGCCCCCCCCCCTATATTTATTTAGCAGATTCTTTTATCCAAAACAACAAACATTCTTGAAAAGGCAGGCTCGGACAGTTCCTGGGGTTAGGGAACCAATGGTGACCTGGGATTTGAACCAGCAACCTTCCATCACCAACAAAACACATTTTCCCATCAACAGAAATGTACTGTCCAGTTCTTAATATAAATGAACGGGAGACGTCTCACCTCAAATTTAGACCTTTGGGTAATAAACTCCTCCTTCAATGAGAGGAGCACCGTCTACAAGAGGATAATGAAACATGTGGAATATGGCAGCGAGTCAAAAAACCTTTATTCTCAAGGTGGGAGGGGAGGACGAGTCACCATCGGGGGTTAGTCACGGCGTCCGGGACGGCTGCTGCCCACACAGGCTTAATTAGGG